AAAAAAAAAAAACGTGGTTAGACACATATATTTTAAGGAGAGAGTAGTATATACCTGAGTGTTTCACGGATAGGTAATCCAGCTTTGGCAATACGCTGCTTCATTCTTCCCTCTATTAAGCCTTTTAGCCATGAGGCCGATGCCCATGTGAGCAACATGGAAGGCGCAACAGCTATATTTCCATTATTTAAATACAATCAATTGAATTTATATATCGCACGAACCTAAGAAAGCAAAATTAAGCTCGTTGGATCGAAGCAACTTGTCTAGAGCAGACATTGCTAAATCAACATCCACCTTTGTTTTCTGTACTTGAATAAGAATAGTCTGAAGTAAGTCGCCTATATAAGCTAGAATCAGTATCTTTTTTTTAAAAGTCTTTCTTTTATATACCAAGAACAGCGTTTTTCAAAGGACTCTATTAAAATAAAAAGATGAGCTTTTAACCATAACAAATACAACTCCCTGCTTACCTTTATCTCTCTTTCATACTCTCTCAACACAACCGAAATATCTCCTTCCCGAATATCTTCTGCCAGCTTAGCAAGATCGCCTTCTGTCCAATGTAGGTTATCTTTTGCAAACCCAATGACCATTCGTTCCAATGACTTTATAAAATTTAGGGCTTTTCTTAGGCACCCACACACACGCGTCCAAGCACAATTGTAATTATACGTACCTCTAAATCACTTTGCAATCCCTGTTTGCTCAAGAGTCTCAGCTGCTGATCCTTCAACCTGATCGTCTCCCAAACTTTCCTCACAGGTTCCCAAACCCAATTAATTAAGAAATCATGCACTGTGTTTCCAAGTTCCCCCACGCACCGGACAATATCCTCCTTTCGATTTAGAGCATATCGAAGGGCGATCTGGCCAAGAAAATAAGAAAGGACGGCCGGAATCCAATATCGCGTCAGCCTAGACGGTTTACCATATGACTCCTGTACGGCCGTAACGTGTCTCTTGCGAGCGTTGGGCCATTGATGAATGATACGCGTGAGAGCATCAACGGCATTATCGATCACTGCCTCTTTTGAGGTGTCAGCAAGAGAGGCTAGCATCGACGCCTGATTGATTGTCGTATCCGGATTCAGGAGAAATGACAGCATTTGTACACTCTGGTTCACTTGAGAGCCGACCGACTGCCCAAACGTTTTTCCTCCTGCCGAGTTATTGAACTGAGGAGATGCGGTCAGCAGCATACCTAAATTGGCTGCTTGTTCAGAACGGAATTTTTCCAAGGCTTTTCTCTTGAGTCGAATCTCTTCATGAATCATTTGCAATAGAAAGGGACGACGTTGAAGCGAGCCAAAGAATTTACGAGCATCAAGTGATTTTCTGCTGTGGATTGGAAATAGCTGTGTCAGTAAGTAATCAGAAGAGGTGAATAGTGATGACATATCAACTGAGTTGGAGATATGGCGGGTTGCGTCCCTAGCAAGTGAATAAAGACGAAAAGGTATGGCTTATTAAGAATGAATTAGTTTCTTCTTTTGCATAAGTTTAATGAAGATTTACTTTGTAAGGCATAATATGTTTCTTGCCATGTGCTACCCTCGATTCCATTCCAATAGTCGATCGATTCAGACACAGGAAGTGTCAAGTTCAACACATCTGAGAAAACATATCCATAGACAGCTAGCGTACATTTGGCAATAAATAGCCACTCTAAATCTGTATCAACGCTTTCCTTTTCTCGAAGTTGTGTCAATGTCACCAAGTTGTCTTGAATGTGTTCTAGAGATGGTAGTGACGAAAGGTCAAGCGCTTGTGTTGACTTTAACAAGCTATCGCTTATCTGCTGAACCGAGCTATACTCTTGTACGTGCTTTGTGAATGTTGTATCAAGAGACGCGTTAAGTTGTTTTATGTGCTCACTAATAAAAGTATCCATCTTTTTTATTAAAGAAGAGAAGTTCGCTTTTGCTCCTTCTCACATTAAAAAGAACAGTCCAAAAAATCAAAACACATAGTACATTTAAACATGATACACATTCCGCATATTAAACTATGTTTGCTTCTCTTGAACAAATGGTGTTTCGCTTACACCATGAAAACAGCCACTCTTTTGACCAAGTAGTTTTAACACCCACCCATTTACACATTTAATAAAAAAACCATCATCAGCCTCACTTCCTCGAATAAACTTTTATTGACCAGACACGAAGCCATGAAGCATGAAACGCACAGTTTAAAAATTAAAGACCACTCCCAAATCTAAAGGAGTAACGTTTGTTGTATAGACAAGTGATAATAAAAGAATAATTATAGGTACACGTCGACAAAGCTTCTTTTGTTATGAAGAATAAGGAAAGAAAGAGAAAAAGCTCATGACCACACAGCTTCGTTTTATGTGCAAGCAGGATTGTTTATGACTAATAAGAATCGAGCTTGACGCGCTGCATGAGCGTGTTCTGTGGTCAGTTTGCTAGTTCTTGCAACGTGCTGTTACTGCCTACGAGTGCTGTATGTACGAATGCGTTGAATGCATCAATCAAGTTTGTAAATATTAAGACATATTGTGCTTTATTTGATTCGTCCCAACTCTTTCTCTTTGCCCTGAATGTCATTAATAAAAACCCTCTGTGAAAAGTCAGCTGCAAAGGGTGTCTCGCATTTAGTATAAATACTCGTCCTTAATAAAGTCAATTGAAAAGTATATTTTTTGTCTGATTAATTCTCTTTTAATTGATACTTTGTATTCAACAATTGGGAATCATTATATATGAAGATGCTGGGAACTTCATTGTTTAATAATTGTCATGTTTTGACATTCTTAACGTGCTGTGTACTTGTATTGATTTAATTTGTAACCGTCTGATTGTAAAGATCAAGCCTTAATTTGTTATGAGCTACTCATCTTGCTTCCTCATTAATAAATGTTCAACAATCTCATCAACCTGTAGTCTTTTTTCTCTTTTGTTCTTACTCAGACATAAATACTTTAAAACAGTTAAAGATTATACAGAGAACATACACATCGCTTTCATGTCATGATCATCTGCCTTTTTTTCATTTTCATATTTCTGTACTAAAAAAAAGAAAAAAGCTTCCCTGAAAGGAAGATGGTCATACCCCGAAAGATATGACATTACTTTTCCCGTAAGAAAAGGTATGAAAAGAAAAGAAAGGAGAGAAAAAACCGCCCTTTTGTTGCTATGGCCTCGACGCGCCACAGTGGAGATTTATATTTCCATAACAGTGGCTGGGTTAGCACTCACAATAATGATGTTGTGACCACTAATGGCATCCACGTAAATACCCAGCTGACGTATTTTAGCACTGATATTGACTTATAGAGCATTCAAAGAGCTTACCATAAGTTGTACAGTACCTGTCCAAACTATATTGTAAATAAAAGAGAGTCTGTAAACAGAATGGCATCACACTAATAATCTATGCTACAATGTGGTGTATATTGCTACCCTGTATTAATAATCTATATATTCTTTACTTCTTATTTTACAAAAATAAAAAGATATACTTGGAAGTTATTGTTTAATCATAGTCCATTTCAAATCAACTATTCAACCAATTCTTCACCAGCGAAAAATACTGTTTTTGCTGTTGTAATCGACAAGAGAATTAGCACATCAAAGAATAAATCCACTAGTTGGGATAATACAAAAGTAATAATAGACAATAAGATATAGTAAGACTGAATTCATCCTTTTATTTGATAAAGAGTAGTTCTTATTTATACTATTCAAGTTTACTGTGGGATTATAGTTGACGTGGGTCTAACAGTTGTTCTGGGGTAAAGTAGCTTAATTAAGGGTTTCCTGGTTTTACTACTGTGACATCTGAATCAAGAAATGATGTTATGTGCTAGTAAGTGTTATTGTAAGGGTAATTTCCCTAGTTTCAATAAGTGTGAATTATGTTTGGATATGACAACTGTACGAAAAAATTCACGAAAAAGTGGCTAATGCACGGGTGCTACCTGTAATGTCATCCAACGATATTTTCAAAGTGCGATGCCACACTAAAACTGGCTCAGGTACAGAAATACCTTTCCATATTCTTTCGAATAAACTAAAATGAATACTCAATACACAATTGTTGTGGATGAAAACGCCAAACTCATTGCTGACATAGAAAATGAATCCAGAGATGTATTTTCTACCGGCAAAGTATTTGGTACTTTATCCGATGTCAGAGAGGCTGCTAAAGCTTTTGGTGTGAAGTACAACTTTCCGTTTATTACTTACAAATTAAACCAAAAGTTCATTCACTTGATGTGCAATCATGAAAAAGAGTATGAAAACAATCATAAGTGTGTTTCTGGAAACGAAAAGATCGTTGTTCGCCAAAAGGACACCCAGCGCATTGGTTGTCCTTGCTACATTTACGCAAGCAAGAATAAATTCTAGTATTTCGAAATTCGCAGATCACAGACACCAAATGGCTACGGATTATCGAACGTACGCTGTTTTCCATCATTTAGACGTAGTGAAGCTCAACACTGCGCAATCTTTTTGAAAACACAAAGTGTAATGCGAGCTCTATTTTGGAGGTAAAGATAAATAGTGAATGCTTTGAAAACATTCACCACAAACCTTTTTTCCCCTCTCATTATTAGAATCTCAAGGCTCAAAGCATTAACAACTTAATAACCAGAGACTTGCACAACATCAGACAACAACATTTTAAATCAAAGGAATCCGAGTCCAATGAAGTTCTCAACTTTGTCAACAACTTGAAAACAAAGGGTTACATTGTCAAGGTTAGAGCCAATTCCAACAATGTCTTTGACATGAGATTATTTTTTTTGCAGAATCTGAGGCAATTGCGGAAGCTTGTCGTATGCTTGAGTGCAATTTAATGATGCCACGTATAAAACCAACTTCCACGGGTTGACGTTGCTCAACATTGTTGGCACGAGTAACACTACAGGAGACATAAGAGATACCTTAACAACGTATCATATTGCGGGAGTATGAATGGAACATGAGAAAATCGAGAACTATTTGTGGGCTCTGCAAATGTTCAAGAACTCTGTGGCTCCTGACGCTTTGATCGCAAACACCTCTCTGGAGCTTCCAAATGTGTTTGTTACGGATAACGAATCTGCTTTGCGACGGGCAATTGCAATGGTCTTCCCTTCATCAGATACACTGCTGTGCTATCTCCACCTTTTGAGAAACGTTCAAAATTATGCACTTCAGAACTTCACGAAAAATTACAGTAATGGTATACAATTTATGATAGAGAGATATCGGAATAGTTACTAAATTATATTATTAGAAAATGACCGTAAAATAGTTAAACTTCGTACTAAGAAGCTATTTTATGAGCTTGCATTTAAGTGTAAAGATGAAATATCGAAAAATAGTGCAGTAGATGCATTCAATGCTTACTTCTCGCAGGATGAAGTGCGCACAGATAAAGGAGAGGCAGTACTTGCATATTTAGAGAAGTATAGCTTTACATTTTGTTGTGCAGTACACGCATATTTAATCATTCTATTTTCGTTTTGTAGGATTTTGAAAGATGAGGTGCATTGGGTAGCATACCATGCCGACAAGTACATGCATTTGGGCAATCGCTCTTCCAACAGAGTCGAAGGACCTCACTCTTCCCTCAAGACAGCACTTGGGACATCATCGGGTAAATTGGCTCTTGTTTCACATAAGGTTGATTTATGGGCAGCAGAAAAGGTAAGTGAGATTTACAGAGCAAATCAAACATATATGATATGTACAGGATGTATGAAAATAAAGAATTACACGAATCATGATCAATAATTTCTTTCGATTTGACATAAGTGAGTGCTATTATCGCTTAAAGCGAACATATATTATGAATTAAATATATAAACTTTCGTGAAATTACTTTTATAAAGATATGAGTACACTTATATTTATGCTATTATGCTTGAAATAAACTGCGACATACTAAATGTAAAAATAGTGAGACCTTAGAAATTTGAAAAACGAGCAAGAAGTGGTCAAAAGAAGTGTGGGTTTGCTGAATAAGCATATTGACTACCGCGTTCAACAGTTACAAGGCAAGATGTCTAAGTTTGCTATGGACAAAAACAAGCTTGAGCTTGCTAAGCTTTTCTCTGGCCCTTCTTGCATACCACTTGCGCAACGTAGTTGCTATTATCGCAACAATTATAGACTTCCTTGTAAGCATGTACTTTGCCAATTTGTTGTTGTCCCTCTCAATATCATAGCAAAAAGATGGTTAAATATCAGCTCGTCGAGCGTTGTAAGTATCATAAGATAGCACAAACATACATGTACAAGCTCTTAACAATAGTTCTTTTTTTTTTTGTATCTATATAAATAGTTTAAGATCATACGCATTCAATTGAAGAACCAAAAGCTGATCCAGCTCTAATTGATGCAAATTCGCAGAAAGCAACACTGGAGTTGCAAGATTTCAACAAAAAATTAAAGAGTGATCAAGACAAAGAGAGTCTACTTCGGCAAATTGAAACCTTGAAAAAGAATGCAGAAGCAAACGAAAAACGTATGGAAAACTTCCTGTTTCCTTCTATATAAGTGTAATTGAAAGGAAGGCCGAAGGACACAAAGCGTTTACCGATTGCAATCAAGTTATTAAAAAAAGAATTTAAAAAAGAAGCGAAACAGACAAAAAAAAAAAGAGAAAATTTTAAAAAAATTAGAAAAAGAAAAACCAAAAAAAGTAAATATAAGGTAAGAGTGCATAATAGGATTATAAATTGTCTTCTCTTTAGCTTCAGATATTATACGCATAGTAACCGTAGCAAGCTTCCTTCTGTTCCGTTACCCTTAGACAATCTACGGATCCAAATTGACAAAAACAAAGCAGATTTAAAACTGAACTCGATTGGAGATGGAAACTGTGGATTTAAATGTATAGCGCACGCTGTTTATGGTGACCAACGTCAGTTCATACAAGTTAAAGAAAAAATTCTAGAGCGTTATTTAAAGAATAAAGCATCTCTGTATAAAAGCAAGTACTTTTATAGCACAAGTACTTTGACATTTGAACTTATATATCTTTATTGCAACTGATCGCATAGACGAAAGAATAGAGGAGGCATTAAAGGACCATAACACGTTCGCTAGCACTGCTCACTGGTTTGACAGAGTTGATGCTCTCCAAATAGCTGCATATACATACAGCATCATTACTGCGATGTATACAGAAGATAACTGTAGCTCACTTTTTTTGCCTTTTAATAATAGTCTGCCAGAAAGGAGTCTTCCAATCATCATGTACCTCCAAAGCGGCCACTTTTACTTGTTTGGAAGACAATAAAAAAAAAATAGATGCCCTAGAGTTAGCCCATTGTACAGACCAGTTGTTAGAATGTTTGGATTATGTGATAATTCTTTATTATATGAATAAATAATAAAAGGCTTAACCCGTACAACATCATTTATCATTAAAGATATTTCAGCTCTATAATTTTTATTGCTATTAGTAACTTCCATTTTGTACGTTAGTTCTAGCTTTTGATTTTGGTTTATATATACTACTTACGCAACAGTTTCATTATGAATGAAGGTAGAGAAAAAATACTAGAGTATTCTTTTTATTTAAAACAAATTGCGAATATAAAGTACCAATAGTATCATATATATATATATATGCAATTGGTTAATCATGCACACCGCAAGCTCCAGTTTGTGGATGCAGGATACTTCACCAAGGAAACCGCGAACAGCCTTAGGTAATGTATAAAGGTAGTGTGAGGTTGTAAAGTGACATCACAGTTAGCGCCCTGAGGTAACACTCGTAACACTAGCCACTTTTTCGTGAATTTTTTCGTGCATGTAGTGTTTCCCTTATAATAAATTAATTCCAGACAATAGTGCCATTTCTTTGACCTTTGTTTGCATAGGTTTCGACAATCAAATAACTTCATAACTTCATTATCACTCAACAGCTGGTCTCTTTCTAAGGCCTTGAAGTTATATTCATAAAAAAATGATCAATAATAATTTTTTTATACCCTTGTGGTCCATAAATTGTTGGATTTGTTAGCCACTACTATTTTACTTTTGTTTTATTTTTTGTTACCTGACAAACTCCTTTAAATCAGAAACGTTGGTTGAAAGTCCAGCGAAGTCTAGAGAAACAATATAGATATTATTGTTGTTTGCAACATAGTTCAACATGTCTATTGAAATAAATAAGTTGGTTTAAAACGAAATTACACGATAGCTGTTATTAGTTTACCTTTTGTATTACCATGAACGTTTTTTAGCTGACTAAACACTTCATACTGATCTGACAAGTCTCTTTCAGAGAAAGAAGAACTTGCGTTACTACATGGGGATACAGGCACTGTATCAACAAGCGAGCACTGGTAATGGTTGTCGACTGAAGAATTGATTGAATAGTTGATTTGAAATGGACTATGATTAAACAATAACTTCCAAGTATATCTTTTTATTTTTGTAAAATAAGAAGTAAAGAATATATAGATTATTAATACAGGGTAGCAATATACACCACATTGTAGCATAGATTATTAGTGTGATGCCATTCTGTTTACAGACTCTCTTTTATTTACAATATAGTTTGGACAGGTACTGTACAACTTATGGTAAGCTCTTTGAATGCTCTATAAGTCAATATCAGTGCTAAATACAATAGTGCGCATTATCACCTACAATGAAGAGAACAGGAGTAAAGGCAAGGATATTTTCACTCACTGTAATATCGAGAGCATCTAAACCTTGAAAGATAGGGCAAGTCAATCCCCATTGCATCCAATTCGATATGAGTACAAATGAAAAATATAATAATCTGGCTGTCATATTTGTTCCTCTCCTTCATATCCACCACAGCAGTGTCCACCAAGTAGGCTTCACATGCATTCATTTTTTTTGCTGGTCCCGTAGCTGGTATCATCAGTCTACAAGATAATTAAGATTAACTTGACTTTCAGCGGTTTTAGAATACCTTGGTTGTTTTGTTATCTACCTCACCATTTAGTGAAATTAGACATAATATACAAACTAGCGTTTATCAATCATTTTTGCTTCGAAATCAATATTAAACATGACATCTTCCTCTTTTGGATAATAACTATGGATACTTCTATATGAACCATCTAATGTTTGTGTAAAACCAAACTTCCACAACAGTTAACCTTCGTCTATTCTACATTTTGCATCCAGAAATACTCAAAAAAGTTCCACTGTCTAATTTTAGGTAGTATGACATATTTTACAAGTCATTGTTTACAGTTTATCAAAATGATCAAAGTGAGGGAGTGCACACTGTGGGCTTTTTGTTGGGCGATCACTTTCAAATAAAACTCAGAATCTTTTTGTTGTCCTTTTTTTACCGCTTTCTGTCTATTCTTATTCATTTTAGTCTCTTTTTTTCTTCCCGCTTTACAGACACAGCAATGGGAGACGATAAGACCAAGGAATATAAAGTGGTCATTGACCAAGAAGAAGCTGAAAATAGTCATTATGGTCATAATCAGCAAACAGTAGTTGCACCATCTGGTATCAAATTATCCCCTACTGCCAGAGCCATTCTACCCATTGCCAGTTATTGCTTTGCTTCTATACTGATGACAGTGACCAACAAATATGTCTTGAGTGGCTATGAATTCAATATGAACTTTTTACTATTAACAATTCAGGTAATGATAATGATAATAATAATATATACATATAAGCTAACTTTTTCTTTTTTTTATACAGAACTTGGTCACAGTGTTCCTATTAGTCGTCTTCAAGTTTTTCAACCTTATCAAGTTCCGTGATTTTGATAAAGACGAAGCACGTAAATGGTTACCTGTGGCAGTATCACTGGTTGGTATGATCTATACAGGTTCAAAGGCGCTTCAATACCTCCGTATCCCAATCTACACTATCTTTAAAAATTTGACTATTATCCTTATTGCCTATGGCGAAGTGCTTTGGTTTGGCGGTAGAGTCACTCACTTGATGCTGATCTCGTTTGGGCTGATGGTAACTAAAAGACAGATCAGAGATAGAAAAATTTGCTGACATCTCTTACAGGTCTTATCTTCTGTCATTGCTGGATGGGCGGATATTAGTGAAACATTATCAGAAATAGTGCAATTGGATACAACCATTGCGGGCTATTTTTGGATGGCAACCAACTGTATCACATCAGCAGCATTTGTCCTTTATATGAGAAAGAGAATCAAGTTGACCAACTTCAAAGATTTTGATACTGTCTTTTATAACAACATCCTTTCTATCCCATTTCTCATCATTCCTAGTTTCATCTTTGAAGATTGGTCAGCAGAAAATTTGGCAATCAATTTGTAAGTATACGTTATTGATTTAAATTAGAGAGATCTGATGTTTCAATAGCCCTAGTGATATACGTCAACAAGTGGTGACGGCCATGATCTTTTCAGGTGCATCTGCATTTGCCATGTCATATGCTTCTGCTTGGTGTGTACGTACGACATCGTCTACTACTTATTCCATGGTAGGCGCTTTAAATAAGTTGCCTATTGCCGCCTCTGGTATCTTGTTTTTTGGTGATCCTGCTACATTTGGAAATGTTACTGCAATTATAGTTGGTAAGTTGGATTTTTATCTTTTTACTTCAAATAACTAAAGATTCTTAGGTTTCATTGCCGGTATCGTTTATTCAGTTGCAAAGACATCACCCAATAGTACACCACAGAACAACAAGGAAATCATTCCAATGTCTTCATCCAGCCAAAGTAATATAGACGCAGTGAAAGATCACGGGAAGCCTTAATTTAGAATTTGAAAAAGTAAAAATACACTTTATTATGTTATTATCAAGCATATATTTGTTATCTTGTCTGAAACGGGACAAGAATCGGCGTTTTACATATAAAAAAATAGCACAGTGAGATGATCACATCTATATCTTACATTTGCATGTCATCTTCATCTATTCTTTCCCCCTGTTTTTTTTTTTTTTTCTGTTGCTGCAGCAATACTCATAAAACTGTTGCAAGTTTTAATTGCAGAGAGCATTTAGCCAATCAATGAAGCCAGAAAAAAAAGCTTGCCTTGCATAAATATGGTGTGCGTACATTTCCTAATCTTTTATCCATTTTTTTTCTACTTTTTTTTTAATTTTCAAATACATGAGCAAAAAGAAAGCACGACCAAAAAAGAACAAGATACTGGACGCAAAGACACGGTTTCGATTATCATCGACCACTGGTCATCCTCTACCACTCGAATCGATCCAGCAGCGACTGGCAGGTCTCTGGAAATCGATGACCTGGCCGATCTGTGTCAAGATTGTCAAGGCGAATATTGCGCTCACGATCGCCTTTGGTCTCTTCTTGATCAATCCTGTTCGTCAGCTAACAGGCGCCAGTGGTATTCTAGCCGCTGTCGCAGTTGAGTTTGTGCATCCGTCGAAATCATATGGTTTTTTAGCAGAGGATGTCGTGTATGGCAGTCTGATGTGCTGTCTTGTCGCCGCCTGGTCTATCCTCGGTACGTTTTTGTCGAATCTAGTACGAGATCAAACGAACAAGACGATGGCTCAACCCAAGGTATGCGCCATCTTGATGTTCTTCTTGATCATTGGTTGTTTCTTCCTTAGCATCATTCGAGTCAGAGTAGAGAAGGCAAATGTGGGCGGTATGTTGGCAGCCACGATCATGGTTATCAGTCTGACAGCCGCTGTTCAAAATTCGGAGTTTACAACAGCTCCTACTGTAGGTTGATTCTAGCATCTCTTAGCCCTACATTTGCTAAACTTTCTACGATAGCTCCAAGCATTAATACCTACCCTTGTTGGATTTGCTCTCATCTTTCTTGTCTTCTTCCTCTTTCCGGAAAACAGCACACGAGTGTACGTTGAACAATTGATCAAGGTGTTGGAGGAGTTTGATTATATCACACAGCATCAGGTAAACGCCTTTTTACAGTCAGAACATCATGTTGATTCGGTTGCTGTAATACATAAAAAAGTCGATCTCCTTGTCTCAACCTTGATACAAAAGAAACGCATGGTCCGAAGGGAGCCGTCGTACAACGTCATTGCAACTACTGACGTCAGTGAACTCACTACCTTGATCAAGCAGCTGCATGTGCCTCTCAGGGGGTTGGGCATCAGCCGTGCGATGGAGGAAAACATGCGAAATGCAGAAAGGAAAGTGATGGAGCGGGACAATCAACAGGATGATGAGATGCATATAAAGAGGCCTCGCAGCTACTATGGTGGAACAGATGATGAAGAAGAAGCAGAGGCCTTGGAGGTATCGGACAGTGAAGAAGAAGAATCAACAGAGAGTAACGAGACGACATGTTCAAGCCAGCAATTGAGACAACGAAAAGTTCAATGGGAAGACTCAATGAAAGTGATCACTTTCTGGAAAACTGATTATGACGAGATACTGAATGTTGTCAGGCCGACTTACGTTCATCTGGCGCTCGCCTGTTCAGAAGCTGTTAAGGAATCGATCAAACGGTTGCGGCGCATGCAGTCGTTGGATCCTCGATATCAAGGCAAACCTTTCTTTTACAAGTACTATTATCGGTGGAAGGTGGGAGCAGAGAGAGAAAAAGAGGAAGAAAAGGCGTTTTATTACGATCCATCCGTCGATCCTTCAATTCCTCTTTATGAAGCAATCCGTCAATTCCATGAGCAGAGACTCGTTGGCCTCAACAGACTCTATACATCTACAGGTGTACCCAGACGTATCTTATTCCTTTTGCTCACTTTTCAGTTCAATCTACACACATTTGCAAAGCTACTGTACACATTAACATCGCTTATCTATGAGCTTGACCTTAACCGTAGTCGTCGTCAACTCTGGTGGCCGCATCTGTCGTTTACCAAATGGTTATTTCAAGATCATCAGACAGAAGCATCCTTTGACCTAGAGACACCTGCTGCTATTGCAGGAACCACACATCCGCTGGCCATCCAAGAAAGCTTGAGAAGGCGCGCCACAGTAATCGCAGCGTCCGCAGCGACTCACCGACAGTCGTCCATCGTAGACTTGGAAAGTCAATTACAAAAGAAGCCATTGTATAAACTGGAAACACCTTACCGCGGGCGGATCCGAACGCCTGATGAGCACAGACAGGGCCATTTGGAAAAAGTAGCGATAAACCCCTGGAGGAGGAACGCGTTGGATCCAATGGACTATCACGATCCAGATGCTGCTTACCCTACCACCAAACGACAGCACTTTTTTTATAATGTATACCTATTTATCGTTCAATACGTTTATACTGCTGATGCTGCCTTTGCCTTTCGTGCCATCATCGTGGTCGTAGCGCTATCCTTGCCAGCATTTCTCGAAGACTCAGTCGGTTGGTATTCTGAATCTCGTGGGCAATGGGCTGTTGTTGTGGCTCTCATCTGGATGGGTCCTTCAGTTGGAAGCAACTTTTTTGCGTAAATAATCAAAAAAAGATATATCGGTTGTCTTTAACATTTTGAGTAGAACAGCAACGCGTACAGTAGGGACGTTCATTGGTGCAATTCAAAGCATAATCATTTGGGAAATAGCCAGAGGCACTATCCCAGGCCTGATCATTTTGACGTTTTTCGTTAATTTGCCCTGGTGGCTGGTTTATATCAATGGCAAGTTTTGGAAAGCAAGTGGTCTATTTGCATTAGTAACAACATCATTGAGTAAGTCATTATTACTGAGATAAGGAAGTTAAAACTCATATCTTTACTATTAGTTCTTGGATACACTTATAATTTGGACGAAGGAAGCAATCAAACAACAATCTTTGTCATCACCTATCAAGTAATAATACACTTGTTATTTGTGTCGTTTAACTAATATTTTTTTACATTATTTAGAGAGCAGTGACCTGTCTTGTGGGTGTGCTTGCTGCACTTATCATCAGTGCCTTCCCATACCCGAGGACAGGCAGAGTTGAACTACGGCATCGTATTTCAAACACCATCAGTGACCTCGGCTCACTTTATTCGACATTTTTAGCACTCCTTGTTCGAGACACACCCGAAGATCCAGAGACTCGACGGGCAGATAGGGCACTATTTCAGGCCATCGCAAACAGTATACGTCAACAGATCAAAGGTGAACGCGTCCTTTTGGATCAAAGCCGATTTGAACCTACACTGCGAGGAACATTCCCAGCACAAAAGTACCTTTATCTGCTTCAGGTGCTCGATAACATATTAGGTTTGATCATTGGAATGGAGTTTGTCATACAAAAGATTTCATTTGAATGGAGAATGATGGTTGTTAAAGATACATGGCAAGCAAGAAAACAGATGGTATGACACATACACAGAAAATGAGACACTAAAAGGTATTAAAAAAATATTTCCGTATAGATTGCGTCTTACTTGACCGCGCTTCATTTAAGCTCTGATGCGTTGACCAACAAGTCTCCTCTACCACCATATGTCGTCAGACCAACCAAGGCAAGACGTACATTGACAAATCTGGCGCGTAGAATGGATGTGTTCAAAGTACAGCATTTAGGCGAAAGGGAATACACGTATTATAGCACTTATATGATGAACTCGGAACAACTCTCCGTAGAATTAGAACTACTGGTGGCCACCGTTCGGGATTTGGTTGGCCCAGATAGTGTCAGCATATGGTTAAACTATAAACATTAAGATAGAACTTATATAGATACCCAATACATTACAACTTAGACTATAAATAATCATAAATAAAAGTTGAAATTTTATAAAATATGAATTAAAACGATGGGCTGAAAGAGATTTTAGATGACGAAGGACTGTGTCAAGAACTACAACAGCTGCCAAAAAGAAGGCCAACAATATGATCAAGGCCTGATAGTGGTATCTCTCTTGGCTACACTGAAGCCATTTTGTGGAAATATTATCTGGTATTGGGGGCTTTTTTTTTTAGGAATTTTATCTTGGTCGCTCTGGGCAACCGTCCTCATGCTTTAAACAAACCATCATTTATTGACCATTCAACTCAAGAATCGAATAATATTTCGTTGTCGTGGTATGTATTTTACACGATCAGTAAAAACTGCCAAACTAGCACTGAAAGGACATCGTGTGTATACTTTCAGTTGCGTTACTTTGTTGATGATAAAATGACCATAAAGCACGTTCTTGTGCTTTAAAAATTGCCAATATTATGACTTGACAAACAGGAGCCATTCCTTTATTCTTTGCTCCTTGTAAATTGTTGTCAGTTTTATGCAAAAGAAAAGAGGTAGTCTTAGTTTTTATAGGCACGACTGTTTTTGAATTTGTACAAAATAGGTTTGTTGTGCTCAGCTCAATAGTAAAATAAAACTGCTTTTCAAGACTCTCTTATGGCGAGTTATGTCCTTTGCAGCTGATAAACCGGATAAACGCGTATTCGAGAGCACCACGAAAGCAATTATCGCAGCATACGCTGGATAGACTCTGGAAAATCTGAAATTCTAAGTTGCTGTCAATCTGTATATCCTTGAATGCTATCATATGGCTATCAGTACTCTATTTAGAGCCTAGGCACTGTATTCGATGGGTATTACGTTAATTATCTGGAGGAAAGCAACGTCAACGTCCTAGACATCCGATACACTTCTTTACGAAAAAAACATTCCATTGCTTGCCTTTAAATGTATAAACATCTCTATATATCTGCTATCGTAGTGTTCCTTTTAAAAGTGCTGCCACTGCGTTCACTCATTTCTTCTTGAATTATCCTTTCCTGGTCTCAATGGTCGATTATATTCTCAACATTACATAATATATATCAACTGCATCATGTTATTCTCTTATATGGTATCTGCTTGGGTTATTATAAATAAACCAAGCTTTCACTGGAAAACACGACTTTTGCAAATGGCCGCAGTTTGCCAAGACAAGAAAGTACACAATGCGTCATTTTCTGAAAATAGAAACAATCGGACGTTTAAAAATGTTTATTCTTCTTTCCAGTTGGCATTACAACAGCAGTTACAAACATGCTCTTCCCAAGCTTCTTGAAGGGTTTGTGTGTCTTTATTTTTTTTATAGGTATTAGAACTCCTTTTCTATCTGACGTAACTATTGACAAACAGCTCCATTCGTTTAAACGGCAGCTTTATTCAATGACAACTCTGAAACAGGAACTTTTGATTAATCCATCTTTGGTTTCTCTTCCCTTTCATAATTTTTTTTTTTGCTTGGATAAATAGAAACATGCATAGAATTTGTCATTGGATTAAAAATAGCCACATTGTGGGGGCAGGGTTTCATCGGGTCACTTGTCGGTGTAATGATCTAATTATATTCCGCCTGTGATGGTGTTTTAAAAAAGCTCGCTTATTTTTTAATCTCTTCTTTCCATTCATCTTTTTGACTCTCAAAAAAGAAAATGCATATTGCTACTGCCATTTTTGCTTTTATAACTACTGCAGTTTATGCTGCTACTAATCATGAGGAAGGCATTATACGAGCACCCATCATTCGTAATCATGATCCAAGTTATGCACTCGAGTTTGCAAAGAAGAGGTATCAACTATTATCAAAGAGGAGATTCAATAAGCGAGATCCATTCGAAGCAAATCTATACAATGATCAAGGTTCACAATATCTTGTCGAAGTGGGCATTGGTACCCCACCTCAGAAATTCATAGTTACTCTTGATACCGGAAGGTAATGAACAAATAAGAGAGGTATGACATAACCGTGTTCTGATTACATATGTGGTGTAGTGCTGACCTCTGGGTTCCCTCAACTGAATGTCCATCAAATGCCTGTCCGTTTTCCCGGTTCAGTTCTTCAAATTCGTCCTCGTTCAAGTCACTGAATCAGAACTTTGGTATCCAGTATGGTATTGGTAATGTCAATGGCACTTATGCTACAGATACCGTGACCGTAGGCGGTGCAACTGTATCCAACCAACAGTTCGGTCTGGCTACCTTCACCAAGGATATCCTACAGCCTAACCCATCTGCTGGCGGCGAAGGCTCATCTGCCCCAGGATTCAATGGCAGTGCAAATAATAATCAAGTCGAAGCCAATGGTATCCTCGGTCTGGGTTATCCTGCTCTGACACAGGCCAACAGTCAAGGAGGAAACGCCTATAATCCATTTGTATTTAACTTGGTATCGCAAAATCTGATCAAAGAGCCCGTTTTTTCAATCTACCTCAACAGCATCTCTAAATCCGGTTGGTCAGGCGAAATTATCTTTGGTGGCGTTGATCAAAGCAAATTCGAAGGCAACTTGACTTACCTACCCGTAGCTGGATTAACCTCGAGACGATCAAGCACATTAGGAGGAAATAATAGTAAATTCTATTATTGGATGGTCTATGGTCAGGGATTGGGTGTTCAAAGCGCAAACCATGGTTCGAACCCGTATTGGAATCTCAAAGAGATGGGTGCATTCATTTTAGACACAGGCACAACATTGACATACTTGCCTACTTCTGTCGCTACTGAAATTGTCGCTGCATTTGCTGGTAGTAACGGTTATGCTCTTGATCGATCCTCAGGTGTCTTTGCTGTCGACTGTAACACGGCCAATAGTCCAGCAAGATTCGAGCTCCAGATGTCTACATCAAGTTCCAGATCATCTAGTCCTATCGTCTTGAGTGTCCCCGCTTCCGAGTTGGTCATCCCTCTCGATAGCAATGATGTATCTACTGCCTCCGTTTGCATGTTTGGTATCGCTCCTCTTGGAGGTTCCGGAAGTATTGGGGCCAACATGTATCTCGTGGGTGACTCTGTTCTTCGCTCTGCTTACATGGTCTTTGACATGGGACAGAACCGAGTTGGTTTGGCTGCTAGTAAAGGTATCGGCGGAAGAGTCAGCGTAGGAAACAGTACTGCTTCAGGATCTAGCTCATCATCTGGTGCAAGCAATGCAGCAGGGTCAGTCTTTGATCATAGTATGACAACATCTATCACTTTGGCTGCTTTAGTATTGACAGCTGTGACCATGTCATCTTTCTAATATTACATCATAATTATTAATTACACCTGTATATATATTTATACACCATTTCCGTAAATAGATTGCACAAACACAAAATATCTTTGCACGCATAAAAAATACAGTTTGCATAACCTCTGAATTTCTTATTACACACCTATGTCATCTTCTACAAAGGCTTTTTTTTTTTGTTTAAAGAATCCTTAAAGGTCATCCAAATAGGCTTTATTACAAGCATCAGTTCGTTCTTGTAGTTGTAGTTTCCTGCTTCAACAGTGTTTCTCTTTTCATCTTGCTTTTGACCACAGATCAAAACTGTTTAATCAGGTTTAAGTTTTGGGGAGTATGGATGAAGATATATACAATTGTATCTACGACAAGTACATTTTCTTAACTATCAAAACAAATACCACAAAACCGATACAAAATAAAACGAATACCCTTTTCCAGTATGAACACTTGACATAATTATAATCTGTTCATGTTGAGGTGCTTTGGAAATACTAATCTGACGAGTAGACTCAGCTTTTGTGGTTCGTTTCGCCAACAGTAGGACCACTGTTTTTTGGATCAGGTGCTGTATTCTACGTTGAATAAGGGTCAATAAACAGTGTTTACACATCAACAACAAAAGGTTCAGTAACATAAACTGACCAACCACAATAATAACTACAAATACACATAATTATTTTCAAAATAAAAAACAAAATCATTTCTTTTTTATCTCTTTCTTCCTTGAAAAGAAAAATAAACCAAGATGGAAGCTTTATAAATTCATGTTTAGCTCGACGTTATATATTGAAAAGCTTTGTTGGATAACGTCATAGGTAGTGGGTAGAGGCAGCACTTGTAGTATTAACTTTTTTTCTGATTCATGATGTGATTACCTTAAAAAGATGGACAAAATTGCCGAAGCTGAATCAAACTTAGTGCTAGATGCTCGTTTGAACGGAGTTTGTAAGAGCAAAGGGGTAAGTTGAGAACTCTTTGTTCTTTTTTATTTGATCGCTCACCTTATTTTAAATAGATCTTAAAGAGACAAAAAGCAAATGTAAGATTGTAAAAAACACGCATGATATCGCCATTATGAGGCCCTATTCTCTTACTTGAAGATAAAAAAAAGTGACCAAAAGAAGAAAGATATTTGATATACAATACATCTTATACTTCAGAAGCTGATTTGACTTTATATTCTTTAGATCACAAAGGACATCAATACCATGGAAGAGTTTTTTAGCTCTTATAAATACAAAGCAAACATGGCTGCAAAAGAAAAGTACTGTTACTTGTAATTATCCTTATGACTGCTAAGATACCTCTGTAATAACACAAATTGAACAATTTGTCAAAAAATCATATATTTGACAACAACGACAAGAGCGACAACTCCCAGGTGAAGTCGGTACCAGAACGTTTGCAAGCAGAGTTGATTTTGAGTGACGTCGACCCTGATGAAGAGAGACTTGAATTCTTGGCAACTGAGGTATTAGAGGTATGTAACTTTAACTGCGAACCTTTATTCTTAATATAGCCAAAGGTTTACATCTATTTAAACATAGTTGGATGGCCTGAAAACAAAGCTGAATGCCATTGAAAAATTACCCCTCAAACAAAGCAACAACACTTAGAGAAAGAGATCTGCCGTTTCAGGTAATGTATTGACATACAATTATACTTTCTTGTCCATCCAAGCTAATAGTCGTCCTTGATAGTTTAGATATGCATGTTCACAACAAGTTCTACTTGAACCCAAAAAACATCAGCAGGTACTCTGAAGAAGATTTCAAATTGAAATTCTGGTCGCACTTAATTGAAAAATCCTTCAGTATCTCGCCGTTCTTCTTACACTGGTACGTTTTCTTTATTTTCTCATTACAGTCAACTAAATGTCGTTTTTATTATGAACTGGGGGGATACGGTTCCCGATACCTTCTCTTCACTATCCCCCAAGCTAAAGGTAGGCTTTCGAATCCTATTGTCTGTATCAAGCATGCGATCAGACTATTCAGTTGGCGAATTTGCCAAGGTTGCCTCAAGTACCAAGTTTTATGGAGACAAGTTAAAAGCCGCTCTGATTACAAAAAAAAAATCATCTCAACTATTTGCTAGCTGACTCTAGTAACAAAGTTGTACTGCCTTTCTTTTTAATCATGGGTTTTGAGCTTTGTCTGTTGACTTTAGAGTTGATAAAGCCAAAGCTGTATATTATTAAAGAAGTGACCACCTGCCAATTCCCTATCACAAAGAATACCATCAACGATGGCGGTATCCAAGATTTGATAAAGTGTCTTGACAAGATGAATGTAAGAAAGCGATATTGTTGGTATAGAGATGTTCATGTACTAATTGTGATATTTGCTGTAGTTGTGGTTGCTGTTGTATTTGTAATGGATAGAAAGTACAATGGAAATCTTTATGTTTATTAAAATAGACTCTCTATTATTTTTGAAACAAACATTTACATGGACTTTACTAACTGTTGGGGTTTTCATTTATTTTATCTTTTTTCTGGCATAAAGACGGTTTCTTTTTCTTTTTCTGGTTAAACCGTGGCATCTGAATGATACATTACAGATTGCTTGTGCTCTGTATCACGATTATTTTTACCTTGACAGGTCATGCAGAAAATATAGAATTGCGGCTGACTAAAAATAGAATCAGTGACAAGCTTAACCATCGGTCATATCAGCATTATGCCAAGCTTTACAATGACGAAGGGTCTCAATATCTTGTAAATATCAGTATAGGCAACCCTAAACAAGACTTTACTGTCGCTTTAGATACAGGCAGGTAAAAAGGAAAGAAAACTGGACTTATTGTAGAAAAGACTTATATATGTTAGCTCCGATTTATGGGTGCCCTCTATGCGCTGCCCAGTGTATCAGTGTCCTTTAGCTCGTTTTGATTCACAAAGGTCAAATACGTTCAAGAGTGTGTCATTAAACGAACCATTCCGTGTGACTTATGGTATAGGCTTTGTCGAAGGCGTATACGGACAAGACAGCGTGTACTTGGAAAATGCTCATGCTGAAGATCAAGTGTTTGGAATGGCACGTTCTACGAGTCAAATAATTTATCCAAAGGCCAGGGGTGCAAATGGTATCCTGGGCTTGGGTTATCCATCACTATCCTCCAGCAGAGATCATGATCCGTTTATATTTCAGCTGGCAAAACGAGGCTTGATCGAGCAACCTCTATTTTCTATCAGCCTGGGATCTGACCACGGATGGGCAGGAGAGTTAGTGTTGGGCGGCATCAATCATGACAAGTATGAAGGTGACATTTGCTTTACTGCAACTCGCGAAGAACAATTCAATAAGACATATTGGATGGTGGGTGGCAGAGCTGTTGAAATTGCTAATGATCATACTGTGATCATGAATAGAACCTTTGAATCTACAAGAAACTTTATTGTTGATACAGGTACAACGCTCACATACATGGATCAACAGCTGATTGATACTGTCCTGCGTGCGCTCTCAGCAGATGGGATTCATGTCACGCTTGATCATTCCTCGGGGACATACTTCATTGACTGTCAGTCTGCAGCAAATTCAAGTCATCATGTGCGGTTTATCTTGGACGATGACATCAAGTTGAGCATTCCGATAGAGTCATTAACTATTCCTTTGAATGGAGAAACAGTTTCGAGTTCTTCGTTATGTATGTTTGGATTGGCTCCCTGGCTACCGACAGAGCCAAGCTTGATGATGGGCAGAAATGGCTGGATTATGCTGGGCGATACGGTCCTCAGAGACATCCTATTAGTATTTGATATGGAAAAGCATCAGATTGGTTTTGCAAAGGTAACATATGGTCTACGTGACCTTCAAACTAAAACATTATATCTTAGGCAAAAGGGACATCTTCGTCTGTTGCATGTACACTGTAACATCTTAAATGACTATCAAACAAACAACGGTGGGAGAAATATCAAGAAATACTTTATTGAATACACACACATAATTGTTTTCTTTTTATGCATTAAAATAACTTCTCACTTTATTCGTCGCATTCTCTGCAAGATCCTTCACTGCGTCTAGATCAAGGGCAGCTTGATCGACGATTCTACGTGCCATAGCCACTGCATGATCCTGTACGTTATCCCAGTCAGTCAACGAGACTGTATCATGTCCACTGTACGTATCCACCTCTTGTGAATCTCTGCCAAAGTACATATCGGACGAAATAGCCTTTGCAGATGAGAATTGGGAAAGACGACTCTGTTCAGCAGCTGAAATGGCAGGATCATATTCGTTCCTGCCAAAATATTGGTCTGAAGAAATAGCACGTGCTGAGCCAAATTTTTCTCTTGCTGATGTCGTTTCCTCTACGTATGGTTTTTGTTCAGGCATTGACACGTTCAAACGAGCCATACCAAAGCCTAATTTCTCGTATTCTTCTTCCTTTGCAGTATTGTTGTCTTGATACATCAGCCGAGAAGACAAGGGCTTTCTTGAGCCCTCTTCATCCTTTGTCATCTCTTTTTCTTCTTCTTCTTGATATTTGGCTTTTCGTTCCAAATCTTGTTTTGCTTGTGCTTCAGCTGCTTCGAAATTGAAGTTGACCGGTGCTTTCTTGACTCCAAGCTTTGCTGTCTTTCCTGGCTTACGAGGTGCACGTATGCCCATCGCTGTTCGATTCGTTGATGTTGGTCGAGTAGTAGGTGGCTTTGGCGTAGTAGATGTAGTAAGCGTAGTTTGTGTTGTTTGTACTGGTGGATTCTCGTCCACAGGCTTGCTCATCGGTTCTTTCTTTTTTTCAACCTCTTCCTCTTCCTCTTTCTTTTCTTCCTTCTTTTCTTCCTTCTTTGGAGGCTCATTTTCTTCTTGGATGTCAATGTCAATTACTACATTGGCAGGATGCCTACAGTCCAAAAATAAAGAGTTAGTTTAAATCCATCAACTCTATTTTTTCATTACGTGATGGCATCTTCAGCTGCTCTCTTTGTTAATAGCTCTTTATATTGTTGACCAGCTCTACTACTATATTTTTGTCTAGCATCGTTAGTCGTGCTGATTGATGATTTCGAAAAGAATTCAGAAGCTGCTTGGTTTCCGCCTACTTTCATCAGACGTAGTTGGTCCCAGGTCCAAGAGTCAAGCACAGTCGATCTAGTATAGTTAGTCATATAAAAATATGTGTATCTTTTTATTATAGTTTACCTTACAAAGCTAATATGGACCCCCAAGTTTCTGTGAGCAGAAGAACAATTGGTACAAATGTAGATGCCAAATGATACTGAAGCCCAGTCTGGATTCTTAGTGTGGCAATCAAAGCATGACTACAGAAAGAAGTGAGATATGGTTACAAGTCTTTTTGTCTTTATTATTTACTTTATTATAACGGTTTTGCTTTAGCTTTTTAAATACAAGCTGAATTTGTTCCTTGGTTGGTTCAGGCATTTTAAAGATAAAAGGAGTTTCAAGAACGCGATTTCTCTCAACCCTCAATACAGCATAAATTTCATCCAATAAAAATCTCTTTCATCGTGTTTGTTAGACTTTTACTCTTTTTAATTATATTGTTTTCTTCCTTTGCTTATAGTCTCTTTTTTAAGCAAGAATAAGCTTATACATCTTATGTTTGTATAATACCTCTGATTTTCTCTCCTTCTCTCTCTCTCTTCAATTTAATCTCTTTTTTATATAAATGATCTACTCCCTTTAATTGCCATTGAGTGAGGGCAGTCAAAGGCACGCACAAACATGTATGTATATACAGATCAAAAAGAAAAAGACTAGATACATATCTTTTTCTTAAAGAGGTTATATAAAACTTGGATATCGGATTTTCATTCTATATGCGTATGCATGATAATTGGAAAAAGTCCGTTGAAAAGTATTCAGGTACATGTATCATAATGAAAACTATAAGAAATAAGAGCTAAGCTTATTTTTGCTTTCATTATTGATTTAGCTGCATTATTTATAGCTTTTCATCATAATAATATAAGTATACAACAAAAAAGTTGCTTAAAAGTAGTTTATATGTGACTCTTGAAAATGATTAAACCAACAATTGGCAATATATCAGTAAAAAAAAAGGTAAAAAGGCGTTGTAGAAAAGTAAAGTAGATGTGACAAAAAAGATATACCTTTGCGCAACACTCTTATATGCAAAAAAAGTCGTTTAAAAGAAACGCTATAGATGCATATATGTGTTTCTTTATTTCCTTGTATTGTTGTTATTCCATCATATATAAAAGGCCGTTCCCATTTTTAGATCTTTCTTTCCTCTTTCTTTTTTTCTCTTTATATATTTTGACAAGCAGTCAAAGTATCCTATGCGTTCATATATGACTACTCCTTTACGTGAAGAAGATCTAAGTGAAAGAAGAGTGAGCCTATGGCAGCAATTTACAAGAGGTAAATATATGTATATATATAAAACAATGAGTATGACAACTAACAAACGTATTTAAAGAACCAAACCTCACTATTTATTCTGACCTTATCATATCAATTGAATCCGTGGCTCAACCTGTCTGTTCCACTGACCTATTTGATGATCACAAAAATTCATCTACTGTCTATGGTACAGCAAGTGAACATACGTATAGGGGTGAAGATGAGGATCTCTTAGTCTTTGATGACGTTGAAGACAATATAGAAGTGTGGGATAACAATAGATTACGGCAAGACTCAAGTGATGAAGCAGAAGGAGTGTTGTATTTCTCTGTTGATAATTTGATGAGGGAATCATATGATGATATCGTGGAGCCTTCTTGCAGTAAACAAATTGAACTAGGAGATGGGTTTGTTCTTGAATTGATGGATTCTAGTGATGATGAGGAGGAGGAAAAAAAAGGTGGTCATGATAATATTCATCATGAAATTGATGATCAACAACATGCAGACGCGCCTAATGGTGGTTGCTCTTCTGGTACTTGCAAATATTCCATTACTATTGAACTTGATGAAGAAAATGAATTCAACAGTCAGCCATTGTGGTTATTAGATGATATCGTTAACAATGCATTTATGATCAAGTACACAAAAGAAGAGATGTTGAAAATGCAAGCTAATAATGAATTGTATTATCATAAAGATGGCCTTGCTGCTGGAAATCTTATCTATGGACTTATTGCCAAAGGAAAAGAAGAAGCAAAGGCTGCAAGATCTAAATGGAACAACAATTACCAGCCAAAAAGAAAGGAATATGAAGATACTGAAACATACGGCGAAAATGATGAAGTAAACACCACAAAAGCAATTATACCTTGTGTTCCGATAAGACAGCCCAAGAATCCTGATAGCAATGGACAACAAACTGGATTTTACTGTGATGCCGATGGAAAGGATAAGAATACTAAACAAAAGAATTACTGGTATATTGATTGTTCAACTTGTAAGCATGTCGTGTGCTTAGACTGCAAACAGTATTATGCTTAAACATTTGTTTATATATGGCTTTCTCTTTATAAACCTTTTACAGTGTTTCCACTTTCTCCTTTTTATCAGTACCTTCAAGAATGTATCCCTTTTTTACTTCACCAGTTATCAAGTGTTTTAAGTACGCAATCAACTTTTGCTTTAAGGTGCCCTTTTAAGAGTGTTAATATTTGAATAAAGCGAAAACCTACGAGCCTTACTTCTTGACCACCAATTCAAGATTATTTCTTGAAAGGCAGGAAACAACTACCGTAAAGTTAATCTATTTTCACCTTGTAAAAAACGACATTTAATCTTTTAAATTTTATTATATCGTCTCTGTTGGTACTCTTAAAAACAGGGACAACTTTCTTTTTGTCATAGGCTTCACATTGTCGTCTTTTAATTTTTTGGCAGTGGCGTGCGATACTGATTGAATTCAAGGGGTTTTCAGTAAGTTGCAACTCCATTTTGAACCGCCTATTCTTTGCCACGATACTTTCAGAATGATCAATCACTCATTTGTCTAAAAAACATATCCTTCTATCTGAAAAGAAAATTGAATTCATCCAAAAAAGATAATCTAAAAATCTGAAAACTGAAATAGAGGCACACTTTCTTGTTGAACTCTTTTGTACAAAAACGACTGTTTAATCTCAGGTAACCACCTTTAAATAATCCTGCTAATTCCTTTAATTTTTTCTCCTTTGTCTTGTTCAGCCTTTAACGGCAAGAATAAGATAATCATAAATTTTAAATAATTGTCTCAGAAAAGTTAGTAACAACTGGTTATTTGTCAATCCTGAAAACTAAATAAAATAAAGATATTCGTTTTAAAAGAACAAATTCAAGTTTTATCTTTTACAGTATCAATCAGCTGTTCGCTCTTTTATGCTACATTCTCTCTCCGATAGTGGTGTGTGTATATATGTGTGTGTATGATTTTAAAGCTCAATTTTGGAGGGGGAGAGGGGAGGGGGACGCATATTTTTTTACCTCTCTTTCTATTGTTATTTGACATGTCTACAGGCGATAATTATGAAGATAAACATACAGAAGAGTTTTTTAAAGAAATCGAGAATGATAAAAAGCAATATTATGAAAAATGCAGTGTGATCGATGCATTTGACGGTCTATTTAATTGCTATAGTAAAGTATTAGAATAATTACAAAACTATTGTTGACATATTATATATGAAAAGGAGTGAAAGAACAAGCAAAGCATTATTATCGTTATGGAACAAGGAAGGATTGTGAGGCTAAATGGGATTTTCTTTCTCTTTGTTTTTCAACCAAGTTAAAATCTGCCGAACAAGCTGATGTAAATTTTATATATATATACAAATATATAATGTATTCAATGTCCATCTATAGGCTATGCTAAAGGCATATAGACAAGCTGAAGAAGAAAAGAAAGTAGGTAGACCCAGCTCGGAAGATATTTGGGAACGTAGAATATAGTTTTGTAATAAAAGAAAGAGAGAAAAAGCATACAAAAAATTTTCTTGTTCCGAATTGTCTTTTTTTTGGTTTTCTTTTTTATCGTATAAAACAACCATGAAATTAGTGAGGTAAAAGATCAAAGCACGCAAAGGAAATATAATAATCCTTGATTAGGTTCTTGATGAAGTTGAATAATGAGACTGTGTCAGTAGAGATGAAGAACGGCACAGTGGTTCATGGTACAATCACAGGTGTTGACATGAGCATGAATACCCATTTGAAGACTGTAAAAATGACAATCAAGAATAGAGATCCTATCAGTTTAGACTCATTAAGCATTCGTGGCAACACTATTCGTTGCGTTATCTTACCAGACAGTTTACCGCTAGACACACTCTTGATTGATGACGCACCTAAATCTAAAAAGAAGAAAGAAGGTAAAGAAGTCTCCAAAAAAAAAAAAAAAAAGTTGTAAATGGTTTATTAAACTTGTATAAAAGCAGGCGAAGCTGGACGTGGACGCGGACGCGGTACAACACGTGGACGTGGTGGTGTTCGTGGTCGTGGAAGACGTTGATTACTTGTTTCTTAAATTATAAAATAAATCACACACAGATCATTCGTTTTTATTTATACGGCTACTATGCTTTTGGATACGTTCATGCCTTCGTAAAGCATCCAATCGAGTGAACTTTCGATCGCAATGCGTGCAATGGAATAAGGGTCGATATTTCAAATGAATCATTTGGTGCCTTGATAGATCGTAGGACCTGCGAAACGATTGATGGCATATTGTCCCTGTCACTGGATCAATAATATGTTTACAGACAAAAGGAGATGGTATGTGAGTTTTCTTTTTCCGGGGATAAAGAGGGGGCATGAATTTATGCTTATCAAAACAAGGAAAATTAAAATCTATGGATGCGATGACAGTCGATAATCTAGGCAGCTTAACCGTGGACTGTACATGGGGTAATAAAAAAGGGTCGTTAAAGGGTATGGGATTTGGTAATGGCTGCTTTATACCCTGCATACACTGTTTTAAATCATCATCTAATGATATTGCTGAATCTCTTCGTGCATCTCTTGTATCTCCTATTTGAGAAATCTTTTTTAACTCAATATCGAAGCTTGTGTCAGAACTTGTCGTAAAGTAAAGATCTGCGTCATCTTGAACATGATAGAATGCGTTGTTTCTTTTAATTAATATCGAGTACTCATTTATGTCATCAATCATACCCTTTGAATCATAAGTCTTTATTATTGTATAAACAATTTTCTTTATATACCTTTAGACACATTTGGATTTTATGTACAAGTTCATTGTACCTCAAAGTTCGGCAGGGTTTAACAGGAATACATAGAGACACTTCAAACAAAGAATTAGGCACACGAACTCTTTTAAATACATTTTAGTACAATGTAAACTCTTTATTTATTTATTATACCTGAATATGTATTCTTTAGTAGCAGCAATCATGGTTGAAAACATGGTGTATGAATTATCTCAAAGGAAACGAACAAAGGCTCTTTATATGTATGTGTTTGCATACAATGACCACATCAAAAAAGGGGTTAAATCTAAACTTATTGTAAATAATAAAAAGGGGCTTTGTGGCAAAACAAAAAGGTTATTTTTGCATCATTCAGGGAAAGCTCAATTTTATTTAGGAGAGTTATTCATGCGATGCATTGAGGAGATTAGAGTTAAAATGAACGCCCTTTTTACAAATATATTCATGCTTTTTTCTTTGATGATAAAAAGGTAAACGTGACCAAACATCAATTCTTCTCTCTCCTTCTTGTATGAATCCCATCCTCTCTCTCTCTCCTCTCTTTTTTTAAAAGTCATATTAAAAGGTTTATTGTTGCCATTAATAGTATTAGTAATACAAAAGTGTGTACACAATTACAAATATACATTATTTCTTGAATTGAAGATTAGTTGGAAATCGTTTATACTTTTTCTCTCCAATGTCATTCACAGGTGGTGTTGCCCATATAATCTGTGATACTCTAAATGAATCATCCTAATAAAAAGGGTTTAGCCTTTATATAAATAAAAAGCCTATCGCTAAACTCACGTTTAAAAATGGTGTATCATCCTTGACAAGCTTGAGTCTAGATCTATTTAATTTTAACTTGATGTATTCATCAAACACTAGGATTTCTGGATCTTGTTCAGGTTTCAGTAATCGATCTGTGATGAACTGAGTGAACATTTGAGAATTGCTCAAGTGGGATAAAAATTCCTAAATAGTATAATTTAGTATGTCGAAGGTGCATGAAAATTAGCTTTGTTTTACTCTTGTATCCTTATCAGAATGCTTCAGGAACTTTTCCTTTGAGAAATACAAAGGCTGAACCCTACCAGAACTTGTGGTATTAGAAGCAGTGATGGCTGTTGCATGATTATCCAAATGGTCAACAAAGCCTGTTCGATAATTGTATAAAAGGGAAGCAAACATGCGGATAAAGGCATTATGGATCTTTTGTTCATCAAAGCAACTAGGCAAACATGGGTGAAGGATCTGATCTGTGCAGGTATCATGTGTCACTAGTTTACATTCCTGACAACACATAAACATCTGAGCCTTTCGCTCCCCTTGTTGTTCTTCAGTCACTTGTCGACCACAGACACATCGATACCCTTGGAAACGATTGAGCTCGGCTGTAAAGATTTCTGCCATCATATGTCCTTCAATATGTTTTATACGACGTGGCATGTAGTTGTAGTAGTGAGGATCAAACTCGTTTGCTTTTTGTAAAGATGGTGTAGGCATATGAGGTGATGAATGCCCTGTGTCATGCTGGAATACCGCCATGGGTTTTGACATGAAGGTGGAAAGCCTGTTTTTAGATGTCTTTTTTTTGTTGTGGTTAATTTATTGAAAATCGTTTCATTCATTTTATATAAACTTACATCCTGAGAATCGGTCGTTTGGTTAAGACTGAATAAATTATCTGCGCCCTTTGGAGGCTCAGATCGTCTTTGGTTTGCTTTTCTATACGAATTATGCCCATTCGATGATGGTGTAGCTGCTGTAATCGGCATAGATACGCGCTGATGCGGTGATTTATTGGACGAGCTCGATAGAGAAGGTCTGATAGGGCCGGTCAGCGTGCTTTGAAGAGAGGTTGTCGAAGAGTTATAGTTTGTTGAAAAAAATGCTGAACCAGGAAATTGAGGTAGACTGGGTGTTGGATCTTCCTTACTTTCGTAGGATGTGCCCGATGACTCATTTGAACTTCGGGTGCTGACGTTACTACTCAGACCAAGAGAGTTGGAAATAAGAGAGGCAGGATTGGACCAAATTGATGTCGTGTCTGAGCTTTCAGAATCGCGTGGGAGTCGGGCAGGACTTACATACACATCTGTCGTCCTTGACCTGCTGCAGTGAAGAATGAGCTTTCCTTTTGGAAATGTGTTTTGTACTGGCAACGGTACGCCGTATGGGATCTTATATCGTGTATGCAATGGTGCATACTGTTCAAGTGCAGATTGTAATTTACGCCTTTGTCGTTCCGGTAAAGGCATCACTCGCAAACTTTGGTGAATGGTGTTGCTATCAATGTTTACAATACATGCCTATAGAATTGGTAAGTTTTTATCCTTCTCTATATTTTCTTCACTTACATCTTCAGGTACATGATCGCCTAGATCTTCCATTATGCCTTGAAAACCAACAAGATAGGGAACAGGCGCTTGCAAGCACGTCAGTAACCTTTCTGGAAGTACAGGAATATATACAAATTGCCAGTAAAAAGGAAAAAGCAGATATCTAAATGATTCACAGGCCAAAGAAAGCATGCTGGGGTATTGCGATAGAAATATAACCTTTCCTTCAGCTAATAGTGTCTAACAAAAGAACAAGACTTAGCTCTATACGTACATGTCTCACATTCCGCTATTCCCTTACTTCCAAAATGACAAGTATTAAGTGAGGTGATAGAGCTCGAAATAGAGGATAGAGTGAAAACTATTACAAAAAGAGGGAAAGTGGTTACTATCAAGAACTCACACTATATGCCTTGTTTACATTTTTTAATATAGGCACTTGGTTTATCGGAGGCCGTGAAAAGAATAAAGGTCTTGAATTGATTGTTAATCCAATTTCGAATCTTCCTGGTGGAGGCAATGGTACTTCGTCGATCAAGTTGACTATAGCACTAATTAAGATACATATATGAGTTTGGATAAGCAACAGCATAAATTTACCTTTCAATATCGATCGTAGGCTTATCATGTCTGTATCCACCAACACCCACTACATTATCGAGCACGATGCGAAGCCAATCATCGTATAAATCAATCCAAGGCATTCTCCCTAGCAAACCAATGCTTTTTGGCACCCAAATACACTCGGCATTGCATACAGCCATCTTTACAGGCTCCAAGAGTTCTTTGTATAGATCCATATTCTCCTGACATGATCTCACTTGATCTTCTAGGCTCTGTCTGCCGCCCAATGTTTCTCTCTTTGCCTCCTCTGCAGCTGCCATTTCGGCATCAATCTTTCCCTTCAAGTGTTGAGCATACTCAATAGTGCTCGTTGGCATATTGACAGCCACCCATTCTTGAATAGCCTGATTCACAGCTTGATGTAGTTCTGAAGGTAGCTTCTCGTAAAACGTCACACAGGACCCGTAGACTGTACCTCCATTTTCATCTGTCATTGCCTATGACATAAAGCTTTAGACATTAAAGAAAATCAAATAGGTGCAACTGTTTACAAATGAATGAGACTTTTCGGGAGGCGGTGAATCTCCATAAATTAGTGAAATATCTCTAGGAAAGCAAAACTATAGAGCAGTGAATAACTATCGGTATCTTTTATTTGACCTATTCTTACCATGGCTGCATAGGCTGGAAATGGTTCATGCTCAGAATAACTTGTACTTGGGTATCGCATTAAGACAGTAGGTGTAAATTTTAATTCTAATATGTTTGGTATCTTTTTATCTACTTGTTCTATATTGGACGCTGTAGACTTTTTATGTTCTATTGATTTGCTGTAAGTGTGTGTGTGTGTGTGTGTGTGCGTATGATGCAGCAGGATGTGCCCTTTACCTGACTTTGACTCGGAAGGACTTCTCCATTTTCTCGTATTTGACCTATGTACTTTTATCGTCTTGTCGCTTTCACTTCGTTTGTACTTGTCAGCGTCATGCACTGCAATCACATTATCACGAGCCATGTCCCTTTCTTTATCGAAATTATCAATGACGGTTTGAACATGGTCTAGCACGCCTAATAGTGAATTAGATGCCTCTTCCTTTGGGAATGACTTTAGAAATGTTGGGTCTGACGTGACTCCTTGAGGACGGGGCCGAGTAGCTGTTGTTTTTGTACCATTGATGGCCATCTCTTGTTGCTGGTAGTAGTGATTGTCATTGTCACTTAATTGTTGATACTTTTTGGCATTCTCAAATGTTGGTATAATATTAGCATCATCAAGTCCAGCCACAAAGAAATAGTCTGCTACTCGCGATGCGGGCAGAAAACTACTACTATTGGACATATTTTGAATAATAATAATAATAAAGAAGAGAAAGAAAAATTGTATCATTGTTGGATCAAAAATTTCAAAAAATACTTGTGACTCTATCACACAGTTTAATGTGAACATTGTTTATTATTTAAATGATGTAATTAACGCAGTCTTGATGATCTGTTACGTCTTGTACCATTACGACTTGTTTTCTCTGATTCTGGTTCTTGAGATGGTTTAGTCAATTTGGCTGGTGGTTCTTCTTGCACTAATTCAATTGATTTTCTTCTCTTTTGAGTAATCTTGGTTGTTGTCGTGATCACAGTTTGTTCTAAAGGCGGCGTAGGGAACAATAGATTGCCAAGTTCTTTTGTAATTTGATTATCCAATTGTCTTTCTTCTTTTTCAGCTATTTCTTCATTTTCAATCATTGCTTCATTTTGATCTACAGTCAAGATATCTTCTTGCTGCTCTCCGGTATAAGGCACGCCTAACACTTGAATCTGTTGTATTCCACCATCAGGGTGTAACGTAAGCTTGATATGAGATACTGGTAAGCCATAATCAACTACATAAGCAACACTACTATTTGGCGCACATGGTTCCTTGTCTACTAGTTTAAACCATTCTGTATTTGGATCCCTATATGGGTCAATCTGTTTATGATTAATGTCAAAAGAAAAAAAAAAAAAACATGTACGCTTTGCCATACTTCATTACTATTGCATCCTTCAATCGAAATATATTTAGGAATGTTTCCTATGAACGATGTTGTATCTATAATAATGTCCTTGATAACTCCCAATGTAGCTAATTGAATGACTACAAAATCATTTCTTGGTTCATAACGAGATCGTGGGGTTAACCAGCCATCAAGTCTAAATATGGTAAGTAACACAATCACAAAACCTCTTCATGCAACCTACGGTGACAAGCCATTGTCCAGCAGAATATTGGGTTTATTAGCATGATCGGCGTCTGTCCAACGCACAATCTGTGCACCTAAATTGGCTGAAGCTAGATTGTATTCTTGCTTTAAGTTAGTCCAAATAGGAACGACGTGTCCATAACAACGGAAGCGGGCCTATAATTTACATTATGTAAATCATCGTGATGTCATTTTTTTTGATAATTACAATGCCACCACCAGGAGCAGTAGTCAGCTTGATACGAGAATAGATGTGCTGATCATGTTGTATCTTGAAGAAGTTATGCGCATTCATATCAATAGGTACATTGGGAAGTAAAGTGATCCACTAATTCTGGTTGTTGGTATCCTGAATTTGACAGGTATTTGCATGTCTTTTTTTTGGTTACCTTTTCACCGTGATTTTTACTTTCAACATATCCTTCGACAAGAACATTTGTAGGCGCTGCATCCGTAAATCCAGTCGTGTCAATATCAAACCCTGATATTGTTCCAGTACATCCCAATTTAATGATCACGCTATTTATAAATGTTATTTATCAAGCATATATATATATCAAAAGAGTTCTTACTATGCAGTGCTCAAGTGTCTTTGTACTTGCCACCCATCCTTGGTACCCTCTAACATGATGTATGTTTATATTTATTTACATGATAACCATACACACTAACCTTGATAAAGGCAATGGTTTATATCTACGCTTTCTTGTTTTAACAGATTCTCTGCTTTCCCATAATACTCATCTGAAACGAACTCAATACTCGAGTTTCTTAGCATGGAGCTTAATTCTGCGTATTCCTCCAGTACCGTTTCATTAATGTCATTTGCGTCAAGTTTGATGAATTGTGTCTTTGATAATGCGTTTCCCATTGTATGTTGTTTTACAAGAGAAAAAAGAAAATTCTCGGAAAATACACCATGATGCATTAAAGTACAGTTAATCTAAAATGAGACAAGCTGAAAATCAAAATTAGGCCAATCAAAATCAAATAAAGACAACAAAAAGTTTGGAGATACACCTTGTTCGATTTTGAGTTGGGTGTCGTTGTGTGCGAAAAAAGGCTGATCCAGAAGTCACCATTCACTTTGCACTCTAGAGGAAGCCCCGAATAATTGCTTACATGAATGCCTTTGAATAATGTAAAAGAAATAAGAGCAGCTACAGTCAAAGGTCCTTTATTCTTTATCATCAGCCCCGTGAAATATTGCTATCGTCAGAACAAATGAATGCGATGAAGAGATTGTACTTTATTATTATATTGACTTAACCACTAATGCTCATCAAAGGAAGTTATTTTGCGTTACATGCTTATTCAAGCGTTTGCTGACAGGAACCAGACTTCTTATTTATAATACACAGATATATAACCACCTTCCAAATTTCTTTCATGAAATAATAAATATCATTTATTTTATAAAAAAAAAATAACCACAAAACACAACAACAACAACAAAAAAAAAAACAAACGCTTTAATCATCACCGATTAATTCATCAAGTTTCTGTTGCTGTTTTTTTTTTTTTTTTTGAACCAAAAGGTCTAACCTGGCCTGGAGACCGGCAATTTCATCCTCCATCTTATCGTGAGCCCTCTTGAGAATGGTTCGCCGTTCTTCTTTTCTAGAAATTAAGAACGTGTAAGCGCAGATCGTCATATTTTTTTTATAAATCTTACATTGTTTCTGCTGTTGCTGTTGCTGCTCCCCGCATACACAAAGAGAGCGAGCGGAGAGTCTCTAAATCCCCATCACAACTTATGAATATAACAAAAAGTGAGAATACAGTTACTTCTTTATATGAAATATATCTTACGTAGACGGTGGGAACGCCATCGTTCAGGGAAGGCCGAACGGCCACAGATGCGATCAAACCGCAAGTGGTATGACCGTGGATGGCGTACCTTCCGAAAAATTTGCTCGCATCCACTTCGTTTTGAAAGTGGATGTATGCGCCGTTTTGGTCAAGCATTTTGACCACATGCTGTGGATTTATCTGCCCACAGTGGAAGATTACTGTTTTTAGCTCTTCATCGCTAAGATTATGCAGCTGTCCTCCGACAACGACCTGACAGGAAGGGATAAAGCACGATGAGCACATTATTAAAATAAAATAAGAGAAACACTACATGTACTATAAAATACGCCAGAAGTTAGACTAGTTCTACGTGCACTGCCTCTATCCATTACCTATGATGTTGGCCAACAAAACTTTTGATCATCTTGTTTATATTCAAGAAGAAAGAGAAAAAAAAGAAACGCTGTTGTTTTTTTATTTACTCTAGCTTTATATTGTCAGTTGATCAACAAATAACCAAGATTAATCACGTGTAATTGCATTAAAGAATATTCCATTGGGAAGCGTTAGGCTAGATAGCAAATTTGATAATGTGAAGTTACCAAGACAGCTCACAAAGGATAACAATGAATGATTATGAGTTACAATTGTAAGCTAATATAAATACTACCTCATACGAATATCAATACAGACTATCTTTTACTCGTCTCAGTCATCCTAGTTTTATCTTAATTCCTCAAGTTGATCCTAGTCTGTATTCTTCTTTCTGAATATAACAGGTCGAAAAAGTGTAGTCTACCAAAGGGAAGAACCGTGTTTGACCTGGGGATTGGATTAAAACACTATTGCCTCTTGAACGGGGCAAGGAAGATCTTTACCTGACGCCATACGCTTAGAAAGGTTGTATACGTTTTTTGAGGTGTAAATTTCTCTATTTCACGTCATCTCAAAATCCTTAGCAGGCTAAAACACTGCAAATACCACAAAATGCTTGAGCGTAGGACGTTTGGTTGCATTCATGGCATATCTAATGTGACAAGATGGCAAAAGTTAATCAACCCATTCGCTATTTCTGCTTGGGCTCTTTGGACATCTTGGTTATGATCTGCTATGATAATACTTTATGTGCTACATGCTATCATTGGACACGTACATCATTATTATCTTTTTATTATATCTGGTCAATGTAGTATGAAATCAATGAATTGGTACAATTAAAGTGTGTTGAGATTAACTAGAGAGTTTCCCTAATATGGCATATACAAGCTCATTCCTCAGTGATAAAGTACTCTTTTGAAACCATTCTGTCTACGACGCGCTGAAAAAGACTAATAGTAAAAATAAAGAGAGTTGAAAAGTTTGTCAATTTATTTACAATATTATTGCTGTTGTTGTTCAAAGAAAGCAGGGTTAAGATACATGCTATTGCCTGTTGATTGCTGATTATAGCTGGGCCCATTTCTTCCTCTATTGTTGTTGTTGTTGTTGTTGTTACGCATGTTACCTCTCATCATCATTTCATTATACATCCTTATATTTGGGGGTACAGGTGGAGCAGCGAAATAAGGCATGCTTGGGTTGAAGGGGAAATTCATGGTTGTATTGCCTAATCTTGGCATAGGAGGTGTATTATTGACAATATTCCTTGTTGATTTGTTACTTGATTCTATTGACATATGAGTACAATCTTATCTCGCTTTATATACCTTTATACCTTTTGGTAAATGCTTGAATGGATTCGGTGAGGTTGTATATAGTGCATAAACTCGTTTATGATCAAATTCACTATTCTTTGTTTATCAGCGATCTATTCTATGAATTCTTTTTTTTTTAACTTACGTTTTCTCAAAGACATCCTTTGCATGAGAAGCATATTCTTCATTATCAAACTCAAGAAATACAATACTATAAAAAAGGAGTCAAGACGTTGTATGGTATCATCATGTATTATTTACCCTTTTGACTTTCCATTCATTTTATATTCAAAAAATGTCATTTCTTTAAGATGTTCTATAAGATTAGCTTTCTTTAATGGTTCTTGAACGTCTTTGTCAGTCGTGTACTAGAAGTATATAATGTTTAAAGATTGTTATTATTGTAATTATTATTGTTGTTGTTACCCAATGAAGCTCCCCTAGATAAATGCTACTTGTGGGTTGATTTGATATACCACGTAATTGCGTTAAAGATGTTGGTATTTGGTGCTGAAGCTGTTGCTGTTGATGGTGTTGTTGTTGGTGGTGGTGTTGTTGTTGTTGCTGTTGTTTATGGCTCTGGTATGCCTGTAGTGTTGTTTGTATTTTTTGATAACCTATAATAATAATAATAATAATAATAATAAAAAGCGTTATTTATGCTATTTCAATATCATATGTTTTCCTTTACCTTGTTTCTGATCTTCATTAATCTTTAATGATTTAGTTGTCTATTCTAAAGGTTATTTCTTTTGTTTAGTTCATATAAAAGAATTTACCTTTTCATCCATAAGTTCTTCTTCTTCTTCAGGCCTTGATCTCTTTTTTACTGGCACATCATGAACAATTTCTTCAAGATCATCTCCCTATTTTATAATATTAACCATTCGTATTCTTTATATCTTTAGTTTTATTCGATTACCAAACCAAAGTCGTAATCACCATAAATATCAAGTTCTTCAGCCATTTATAGTCTTTATGTTTAAGAAAAAGAAAAGAAAAAAAGTAAGCCTGATTCGGTCATTAAAACATTAGTTATTACCCAATAATTCAAAAAGGGAAAGAAAAGGGGGGAGTAAAATGCCTCCATATACGTGCCATCATGGATTCTCTACTTCTTCTTAATTTATAAACTTTCTATAGGTTTCTATGTATGATGATACCTTGACTGATCATTTGCTTTGTTGCTTTTGGAGTCAGCTAAGTTTCTCAAATTGGAGAGGCTGATAAAAATGAGTTACTTCAAGACTGAGTCAAAGAAGTAAAAATGGTTACGGTACATGATAAATGATTCGCTCATAGTTGCCAGTTATGTGCTCTGAGGTATAGGATCAGCAATATACAATCCAACATATAATGAAAACGTAACACAAAGAACAGATTGGCTATAAAAAGTATAATGATGGAATACAATGTTTCCACTCTCCATTGGTCATATTTTTGAGAGCTAATTGGAAATCTTCTTGAATCAAGTTGCTCAGGGTCCAAGCTGTATGACTTTATTAGACTGGCTGCCTGGTTTGGAATCCTTGTTGTCAAATATAGTTTCTTTAAGGCATGACTTAAGGGCAGTATGATCCCATGAAACGTCAAAATAACATTTTATTATAAGAAGATACGCCAGCTAAGGCATATCTACATGACGATGTAGTGTATTGGTAATCTTCCTATTAGTCGAAAGAAAAGATAAGTCATAGATTACAAAATGTTTTTCCATCTTTTTACACTGTTTCATGTATGCTTGACACTTTTTTTTCTTCTTGTTATTATCGTTACCTCGTTTCATATTGTTTAGTTTCAAAATAAATACAATTCCTTGCCAAGAAGCATGTTGTATCTCCTATTGCAAAAATTTTACTGTAGAAAATGCAAAGTTATGCGTAGAAAGAATGCCAAAGATGAAAGAAGTTGAGATCTGCTATTAAAAGAATCCAAGCGAACCAGAAATTGTTTGTGAAGCGCACGTATTTGGTGCACCACTTCTGTACAAATAGTATAGATCAAAAGAAATCAGAAAAAGACAAGAAGACAGTGACATAAGTGAGAAAAGTGACCTAACATTCTGTAAATAAAGATAAACGTAAGAAATAAAACGGCCAACATTACATGCACCAGAAAATAGGCTAATTCTACGAGCGTTTCTTCTAGGCACTACATGTAAGACTGTTCAGTGAAATATCCTTTGACATGAAATAATTTATTATAATTACACTTGAGCTGATTCTGGTTCTTTATTGATCAAATTGACATCATAAAATCAGAATAAATAAATAAACAGCATTTCTTTTTATCTCGTCTTCTTGAAAAGAAACAAACTAAGATTCTGACTTTATAATGTCATGTTTAGATTGACGCGACACATTGGAAAGTTTTGTTGAACTTCATCATAGGTAGAGGATAGAGGTAGTGCACGTAGAATTAGTCTAATTTCTGGTGCATGTAGTGTTTCCCTACTTTAAAACATAGCTAATGATTCGCAAGCTATTGACTTTATTAACTGTGCCTTTCGATCAGAGTTAGAATACTTACTACATTCATCATACAAGCTGGTTTACGTATATGATAAAGAAATCTTGGGAGCCGTATGGAGATTTACCAAGAAGTTTGACAAAGTTTCTCCACTTGGTTTCAATCAGTGGCTGCATAAGCAAGATATAGACTTCCTTATGGACAAGCCAGAGCGCAAAATCTTCAAGGGAAATACAGGAATTCAAAAAATAAGAAGAAGACATCTAAATGTTTTAGACAACAAGCATTATCGTAAGGCTTAAAGATAATATGCAACATATATGAAAAAGTTAACTCCATTTTGATAGCCAATCTTGCAGAAAACATCATAAAAACATTGCCTAAACATCAAGCATATATGAAACAGTGTAAAAAGATGGAAAAACATTTTGTAATCTATGACTTATCTTTTCTTTCGACTAATAGGAAGATTACCAATACACTACATCGTCATGTAGATATGCCTTAGCTGGCGTATCTTCTTATAATAAAATGTTATTTTGACGTTTCATGGGATCATACTGCCCTTAAGTCATGCCTTAAAGAAACTATATTTGACAACAAGGATTCCAAACCAGGCAGCCAGTCTAATAAAGTCATACAGCTTGGACCCTGAGCAATTTGATTCAAGAAGATTTCCAATTAGCTCTCAAAAATATGACCAATTTTCTCGGTAAAGTGACCAGTTGAGCGTGGAAACACTGTAATTTCATGCATAGAGCTTAGTTAGGAAAAGGAAGGAGATCAATACGATCATAAAACCATTTCATCATGGACAAGCAGTCTTTGTAGGCTGTTTCAAAGTAGCAATCTAAAATTGAACAAATGACATAGGCATTCTATATGTCATGTACATACTTATGTACCTCTCTATTGAGACATCTCGTTCAAATCAATGCTCTTTTCAATGACGTCTCGTTCTGATTGTTACACAAACATTCAGCATTGAAGAAAGAAAGAAAAAAAGGGCAAAATAGAGTGTTTCATTTCTCACCATTTAAAATGCACGATGCTTTTCAAGTAACAACAGTAGTTGATAAGTTAAATCGTATAGAATCTATCTTTGCTCACGGTAAGATAGATTTACATAACTTTTACATTCTCATTTGACAACATCATATAAAGGAGACAGACTCTTGATTGGCACTGGTTCGGGTCAGCTACTTGTCTTTGACATTAAAGAACCACTAGGTATAACTCATTATCTAAAGGAAGAACAATAATAACATGTTGTAGTGGCAGACGATAATGAAGTGCCCGAAGTAACACTTTCCAAGACTATAAAGACTTTCTCAAAGAGACCTATTGAGCAACTGGATATCATAAAGGAAATTGATGTACTCGTGTCACTCTCAGGTATATATATTTTAAAAAGTGTATGCATAGAACAATAACCGAGATTTATTAGACGGACTGGTCAGCCTACATGATCTACATACATTTGAGTTAAAGATGGCATTGGCCAAAACAAAGGGTGCCAACCTATTTGCAGTACAAACCATGGTTGAAATGAGCCCTGAGGAGCAAGTCCCAGTTCTGACCACTCGATTGGCTGTGGCTGTGAGAAAGAAGCTACTTGTGTTTATTTGGAAGGACACTCAGTTTTGCGAGACAAAGGAGTTGAATATACCAGATCGAATCAAAGCGATGTCCTGGGTGGGGGCCACAAAGATTTGCTTGGGGTTCCTAGCAGAGTATGCCCTGATGGATGTAGAGCAAGGTCAATTAACAGAACTATTTGCCTTAACTGGACAGGCTGAAGCAGGGCCTATGAGCACTTTGAACAGTCTTTACAACATGTCAATAGGATCAAGAGGAGGAAAACCGATGATTACAAAGATACCCAATAACGAGATGCTTTTGGCTAGAGACCGTAATTGACGTTATCGTTGCTATTTTCCGCTTCTTATAATTTATTAATAGACATCAGTATCTTTCTCGGATTGGATGGTACTCCAACACGAAAGGTGGGTATTGAGTGGTCAGGAGCACCAGAACAAATTGGTAAGTTGAAATAGGCAGAAATAAAAATATACTCATTTGACTGAACTAGGTTATTCTTATCCTTATGTGATTGCCATTCTTCCAAAGCATGTGGAAGTGCGAAACATCCAAACACTGTCCTTAGTGCAACACATTGATTTAGCAAATACTAGATTCTTAAATCAAGGAAAGCTAGTCTATGTAGCAAGCACTTCACAGATCTATCGTTTGACTCCCTATAGTTTTTCATCACAGGTAACTGTTGCATCCAAAAAAAAAAAAAAAAAAAAAAAAAAAAAAAAAAAAGAGAGAGAAAGAGATAATTGATTCTTTGTTTAAAGGTAGATCAACTCGTGGAAAAGCAAGAGTATAAAGAAGCAGTCAGCTTGTTGGATCAAATTGATGCTGTACTTGTCCAAGACAAGGAAGCAAAGCTCACTTCGATTCGTACTGCATATGCTCATGACTTATTTCGACATGGAGAGTACGATAAGGCACTTGAGCTATTCCAAGAACTGGACACGTCACCAGAAGAAGTGATCAGTTTATACCCAGACATGATTGCCGGTCATTTGGCTAAGAAGGAAGAAGATGAGAACAGCAATCATGATGGTGATACCAAGAAAAGCATCGAAGAGGAAAAGATAGAGCGACCAGCAAGTCGGGCTTCGACTAAAAGCAAAGCGACTACAGTCGCAAGTTCCATCAAGCGGGAACCTGTACCACTCACCGGATTCCATCTTCGTGATGCTGTCACATATTTGATTCGATACTTGACAGATAAGCGACAGAAACTTGCTAGAAAGTTGAATGATCCTTCTGTCAAATCACCCAAGAGTGATTCTGTAGATAATCAGTCTCTCTTGGACCAAGCGTCGTTGGTCGACACCACTCTTTTGAAATCTTACATGATGACTAATGATGCACTCGTCGGTCCATTGCTCAGAGTTCAAAACCATTGTGATGTTGAAGAGTGTGAAACGATCTTGATGGAGAAAAGAGTAAGTTAAAAAGAGATCATATCTGAAAAATATGGACTGACATTATATAAAAAAGAAATACAAGGAACTTGTCGATCTTTATAATTGTAAAGGATTGCACGGAAGAGCACTTGATTTACTACAAAAGTAAAAATATTATAATAGTCAATTCAAGAAGTACTAAAAATGTTACTCTTAGACTTGGAAATCAACAGGATGGGCCCTTACGTGGCGTCCTGCCGACTATTCGATACTTGCAGAGATTAGGAATAGAATATTTTGAGCTTGTACTAGAGTATTCACGTTGGGTGTTGGAAAAGGATCCAAAACATGGCATGGATGTGAGTTGAATGATATCAGAACGAGAGAAAGAGGAGAGAGGACATATGACTAACCCCTGATTACAGATATTTATTGATGATCTAGAAAAGACAGAAACATTTCCAAGAGATAAAGTGTTGAAGCATTTAGAGTCTATTTCAAGTGATTTAGTCATTCAATATTTGGAGTTTATCATTCAAGAACTTCATGATGAATCTCCGGAATTTCATAATAGACTTGTTATTGTCTATCTCGATAAAATCAATTCAAATAAAAAGAAAAATGGTAATCATGACAGTTAACAAACAAAACCACTAATCAATAATAGTAGGGGATACCTATGATACAAGGTCTAGACTTCTTTCATTCTTGACAGGATCATCCTTTTATAAAGCCGAAAGGATATTAACGCGTCTTCCGGATGATGGTAAACAAATGATCAGGATATCGTAATGCATTCTGATAACACTATTTTTATTAGACCTGTTTGAGGAACGAGCTATTCTGCTGAGTCGAATCGGACAGCACGATCAAGCACTTGATATCTATGTATATAAACTAAAAAACTACGTCATGGCAGAAGAGTAGGTGTAATTACAAAAAAGGTAAATGATTAAACACAAGATATTAGATATTGTACAAAGATATTCCGAGTGGATGCTAAAAAGGGTGAAGAGATGTACTTGACTCTGTTAAAAGTGTATTTGAATCCCAGTAATCAACAAGAACCATTGATTCAACCAGCGTTGGACTTGCTTGCACATCATGGATCACACATTAATGCGAGTGAAGTATTGTCTATCTTGCCTTCCGAGACACAGTTACATGGTTTATTCCCGTTCTTTGAAAAATATATTCGTGCGGCAAACAAGAGAAGAAATATGGATTTGATTGTAAAGAATCTATTAAAAGCAGAACAAATACAGGTAAATGAATGACGACTTAAATATTCATATGCTAATTTGCGTCTTTTTTTTATGTAGGCTGAAGAACAGCTCATGTATTACAAGTCTCGAGCTGTCAAAATCACAGAGGATCGCATGTGTCCGCAGTGTAACAAACGCATTGGCAATAGGTAAGTGAAGTCATGGAGATAGAATGCCCTCTTTTTTTGACATCAATCTAGTGTATTTGCTGTATTTCCGAATGGTGTCGTTGTTCATTACTCTTGTAAAGAAAAGATTGAACAGACACAATGGAAAGTGACATAAGCTCTTTATCGGAACTGATAGGAGGAAAAGGAAGAAAGGATATTGTATCACATTTTGATTTCATAAAAGAGTGTAAGACTCTTGATAAATAAAAGCAAGATAAGGAATGGGATAAAAGGCGTTATTTCTTTTTCTTTTTCTTTTTCTTTAGAAATGACTTTAATCATTTTTACACATATTCTTTGTGATCAAAGATCAGATGGAAATGGTACTGGAAAGATTTGCGCCGTTTGTGGATCAAAATTACACATGACTAGTAAACTACTTCTAAAGTACCTTTTTGTTTTTGATGACTTATTTGTCTTAGAACATTGTCCGGTGCATCCTTAATTACTAATTATTTGACATCTATTTATAAAGCATACACCATCTTCTATCTCATATCATTGTCATTATCAATAAAAAGTATTTATTGTTATTATTCTTGTGAAAGCAAGTTTAAAAGATCCAAAAATTTCGTGCTCGACTCTATTCTCCACTTGGCAAGCGTCTTGCGTTCATGAGAGCCAACAATAACAATAAATTGCACCACTTCTGTACCGCTTGCTTGAATTCTTTCTAAAGTGCGGAACATGTCTTCATCGGTCTTATCATCTCCAACACAGAGGACGAAATCGATCGTGTCATTTTGAGCTACAACTCGATTGACTACCGATCCCTTATTGATTAAACTGTGACGAACTTCCACATTCATCTTGTTTGGTAAGCATTCGATAGGCTGTTTGCCTACAAAGTTTTGCTCAATATGATTTTGACACTCCATTGCTTGAAATGCACTATTATATGATGAATTGAAGTGGACAACATGTTTTTTCTTTTCTTTCTTTTACCCAAATTTTGGATCTGCCTTGCGGTAATGCCAGACAATACAGCACTCCTTTTCCTCAACAGTACTGCCTGGTGTACGCTCAGTATAATACTCAAAGACCTCTTTAACTCCATCTTTCCAAGAAAAGTCCAGATTCTCTGCCGCGTTTGTCCAAGTTGTGCTCTGTGGGTCCTTAATGAAGCAACCGTGTTCAGCAGATAAGCCCAAATTGGGTATGTGGCCCAAATATTGGTCGAGCCATTCCTACAAAAAATAACGTTGGATAAAGATCTAATTGATCAAAGGAGGGTTACCTGTGTACGACCAGAGACAACCCATACGACATTTTGAGGGTTCTCACATAGTTTTTTCAAAACCTCAATCGCTCTCTCTGAAGGCTTGGCATCTTCTGGATTAGCATGAATAGGTACCAGGGTCCCCTATGATAACAAGAAAAAAAAACGAGTCGGCATCACCTTCTTAACGTAATTTCATCCTTACATCATAGTCAAAAAACAATGCACGTTTGCGGCTATTATCATATTCTACTTTAACACGTGAAACATCGAGAGGAGCAGTCGTTCCCCAATTACTCTTTTTCGTGTCAAGGAGCCCCTTGACAAGAGATCGAGCCCAAAAGCTGGCAGTGTGAGATGTCACAAATTGACTGAGTTGCTTATCAAAAGAAAACGTGAACACAGTGTTCTAAATCATGCTTTACCTAGTGTCCCTACCTCATATTTTATCTTTTTCTCTTCTTCACTCATCGATAAACACTCTGCAATAGCTCTAGCCACTTCATTAAAGTTCCAAGGGTTGACAATAATGGCTGCACTCATACTTCTTGCTGTACCCGTAAATTCAGATAATATCAATGGACTGTGGTGACCTTCCTGTGCGACGATGTACTCAAAGCTCGAAGTGTTCATACCGTCAATCACGGGTGTAACAAGACCGATATCAGCCACCTTCAAAAGAGCATAGTATTCATCACGATCAATATGTTGATTAAAGAGATTTGCAGGCGAGAACTCTAATGAACCGTATTTGCTGTTGACGCGTGCAACAATTTCGTTTGCCTTTTTTTCAAGATCGGGAGTATCCAAGACACCGGGTGAGGTCACTTGGATCAAGACAACCTTATCTCGCCATTCGGGATGTGTATCCAAAAAGATTTCAAAGGCTTCCAGTTTCTGAAGCACTCCCTTGACGCGATCGAGTTTATCTCTACCAATGATCAACTTCTTTCCTGCGTACCTCTCCCTAATCGCTTTTGCTTTAGGTTCAACGCCCGGACGGTTGCAATGATCTCGTGTTCTTTCAAGGTCAATGCCGATGGGATAGATTCCTATTTGAACAAGAGATCCTTGACCAAGTACACCTGCAGGAGTGTACTCATAGCCTAGGAGACGCGTACAACAAGAAGTGAAATGGCGAGCATAATCATATGTCTGCAAGCCGATCAGATTTGCTCCTAAAATGCCTTGAAGAATCTCCCTACGATCTAGTATATAAACACACATAAGTGAACGTCTGCTATTATATAGCCCATTGTTACTTACGAGGAAGACATCTAAATATTTCAGAGCTTGGGAATGGTGTATGTATAAACAAGCCTACACGTGCATCAGGCAGTCTCTCGCGAATCATCTGAGGAACAAGAAACAAGTGGTAATCATGAACCCAAACTATAACAAGAACGCGTCAGAATATCGATACATAGTTAATATGACTTACTGATATCGCCATCGTTATAGTGATTTATTGCTTCTTGAGCAAATATTTCATTCACTTTTACATAATCTTTCCAAAATGCAATCTCATCTACGTTATCAGACCACATAAGGTAGTGCATCAATGGCCAAAGCACTTTTTTATATCTTTTTAGCTTCACATCATATTAACCATCTCGTTTTTCATTATTCTTACCTTGTTTACTGTAACCTTCATAATGGCCGGAGGCAAGCTTATCTTCAACAAAAATGGGTAGCATGTCATATTTAGACAACAACAGACTTGTTAAGCTATCTCTTTCCTCTTCACTAATGTCATTCACTTCGATAGGATCATTTTCATCCGTAAAGATAGAACCTGTGCCTCCGATATAAAGAGTCTGGTAATCCTTCTTTAATGAATCAATGGCAGCATACATGGCTGAGTGACCGCGTCTCTGGGTTAATCGCCAGTTGTTGGTTCGACTGACAGTAATAGTGGACCGTCTTCTTTGAATATGAGAGATAGGATTCAAGTCATGCTCTTCGGTTGGTGTATGAGCTGGAGTTATCTCAGAGTAAACATTAAAAGGGTTCTTTTGTAACTTTAGCTGCTTTATCTTGTCAAGGATAGACTGATTGGTATTGGATAAGTTGAGAATACAGCTGTATGGTAACTGGTTGACAACATTGATAATCTTTCCTTTAAATTCTTCTTCACCTCTCACTCCAGTCACGACTTCCTTTAGCTTGTTTACTGCGTTGTACATGATAGTTTATAAGAGAAAAAGAAGAAACTACAAAATCTTTTCTATTTATGCACAGTAGAAGCGGAGGTCTAAATGACGTTATGCACAGCATGGTAAACTGTCACCCTTTCCTAATGTTACGTAAACATTATATTCTTTGCTGACAACATCCCCAGGTGGCGAGGATAGTTACACTTTCTGTGTAAGAAAAAATAAAGGATAAGCTTTGGTTATTTTGAAGCAATGCTGAGACCCCTTGTTTATAATAGACACTAAATGTCATTTCATGAGGCCTTCTTTTTTCTAAACAGGTCATAAAGTTGCTTAAAAGTCTCTACCATGGGTGAAACCCTTTCAAAAGTACTTGAAGAGAGGTCATCTCTTCTCTTTTACAAGAAAGGTGCTTCTGTCTTTTTTTTTTTTTCACTCCAATGTCACAAGAAGCAAATATTGACTTGGACTTTTTTGAATCACTCGAGTCAAAATCACAGCAACTACTTCAGCAGTTTGTAGATCATGTTTCAAAAGTTCAAGAACAAATGCAGCAAGTAGGAAACAATAAAGACCAAAGAGTTTGTTTTCGTGTCCCTAATAACTACAGATGTCAACGTCAACAACTGAGTTAGAACATGTCTACTTGTCAAGCACACAGCATTTGTGTGAAGAACTAGAGGCAAGCACTAGGAAATCTATTGAGCTGATTACTCATTGTGATGAACTCGATAAGGATCTGTTACAACTGCAGGAACTTGCAAGACAAATGTATATACATAATGAGTACTATTAAGAGTGAAACTAATACTTGACCTATTAGCAAATCTGTGGATAAGGCCCTTGATCAATTACAACACGCATTAAAAATAAAATAACAATGGGAAAAAGAAAAGAAGAAATGCTCTGTTAGGATATAGAAATATGGCCGTAAAAGAACCGTATTTCTTTCACCTTAGTGCACATAAATGTCATACAAGAAGGATATTGATCACACTTTCTTTTTCTGTAAAAAAAAAAAAACTATTTGTCATTGCATAACTTTGAATGAGTGAATTAACCTATTGTGATATTTCTGCTTACTCAAAAAGACAAATTAACTGGGCATAAATAGACAGATAGATTTTACTTTGCATTTATTTTTGGCATAGTGCCATTAATTTCTGGCAAAGTGACAATATTTACCATTCTCACCAGATTACTTTATACACAGTATGATCGATTTGAGCTTTATCTCCAGTATTGCTGTGTGGGTTGTTGCTGTTGTTGCTGTTGCTGATTAGGATTAGGTGTGTAGCATCTAAAGCAACTTTGACGAGATGCAAAATTTTGGAACCCACAGGCAGGGTTTGGACAGTACCAATCGCCTGGTCTAAAGGTGATATGATGATGAGGACGACCACCCGTATAGCCGCCGTAGCCACTAGGGCCAGTAGCAGCAGGGCCACCTGCAGAAGGAGGAGGAGCATAGTGTGATGAATACTGTCCACTGTTCCTCGGCATTGTGTTCACTAACTTATTTCCTCCGGGTTTATAGGCTCCACATTTCTTACACTGCATACGAGAAGCATAGTTGTGATAATTACATGTTTGGTTAGGGCATGTCCAATCATAAGGATTTGTATGAGGGACATAAGTTCCCGCATGAGGCGAAGGAGAGGGGTTTTCAAAGTTACACTTGAAACAATAGCGTCTTGAGGCAAAATTGTGAAATCCACAGTTTGAACAGTTCCAATCACCTGGTCGTAAATGTCTACTTTTAGCTTGTAAGGGGAAAGAGACCAACATATTACCCGCAGCATCCACCACCCTAGACGAACTTGGACATACCTCAATTGGTCTATCACCTAAACAACGTCCATTTAGAGCAAGTGCTCGCATAGCATCTGCATGTGACTGAAAGACAACAAATCCAGATATGCTAGGTTTAGAATGGTCTCCTGGTTGAATCATCCACATTGTTGTAGGTCTAAGTCCATTAGAGGAGAACCAGGCTTCTAATTCACCTTGAGTTACTTCATAAGGTAATCCAGCTAAATGGATCACCAAAGATTCCTCTTTTTTAAACTGCTTCAGGTCTGCATTGGTATCGATAGGATGTACAAATACATCTGGGTGACGAAAACTAGTCAGATAGCGAATGATGTTAATTGTTGTAAAGCATGCATTAAGCCCAACTGTTTGATCTCTGACGCGGTTTAATTTGAATAAATCACATAAATCACGTAAAGAGGTAGAGCGGAAGCTGACTTCTGGATGATGAACTTGCCAACGTTGAATCTCTTGCTTCAAATCAAACATGCGGCAATATGCTAAATAGGGTGGTAATTCTACATCCTTATCACGACTTTCACGAGGTAGCTGAATACGAAGAACCCAACCGCCATGGGTGACAAAGCAAAAACTCTTCTTTTGTTCCTCAATATTTGTCTTTATATAATTGTCCAATTCATCAATAGCATTCTTTAACGTGCCAGCAGATTCTAATGAGCTCCATCGAATACCCGTAACTTCTGTACAAAAGCTCGTTAATGGTGTACGCTCAGGCTTAACATAAATCTGTCTTGAATGTAATGTTTCCAAAGTATGAGCATCAAGCACGACAAAGGAGAGCTCTAAATAAAATAGTCGTTATGCTTTCATTCAGCCTGCTTAAACTAGAGTTGTTACCAATTATTTCTGAATTCTCTTTTGTCACTTGAACTGCTGCTGGATTAGTGGGATTTTCATCACAAGTGGCTTCTACGTGAAGTACAATCAAACGGTCAAAAGGAATGATAGTATCTGCAGGGGGAGGAGAATTTCGCTTTGTAGTAGCAGTAGCAGTGGGCTCTTCTTTTGTTGTATCTATTTCTTCTTCTGGTTTGGCAACAGCATCATGTTTGAGTTCTTCTTTCTGTTCTTTTACCCCATTATCAGTTTCTTTTTCTTCTTCTTTTTCGCTATTGATATTTTCTAACTGAATCTTCTTATAAGCTACATCTTCATATAAATCTTCTTCTGCTTTTCGCTTTCGGTCTAAATCGTACGAATCCATTTTATCCTCTTGTTAAAAAAAAGTAGGACATTGAGCTATTGCTCTGTAAAAAGAACGATACTAAGCCACTAAAAATGACGTATTTTGCCTCCCCTTTCTGAACTTTAAAACTTGGATAGCTGACTTGTATGGTTTATCTTTGCGTTTGCATATTTATATTTGGTGGAAGCTACATCTCTTCATTAGTTGGCAGCAACTGTCTTTGTTCATTATATATCTGTAACGATCTGTTATTATTTTCAAAAGTTAAATGTATACGACTTTCTAAAGCTTGTTTGCATACATTCGTGATGCTTGTCAACACCTCATCCGTTCTACCTCCAGCTTCTGATTGAAATACATTAGAGTTTTCAGTAACTTCTTCGATATTATCCATCGTATGAACTTTCAAGCTAAAGTCAATTTCTAGGTAATATCGTAAGTACGCTGTAGCATTTCTCTTATTACTGTCGTGACAATTTGCCTTGGCTGTAAACGGCACAGCTTTTATCGAAGCGATAAATCAAATACATATGCTTACAGGCACGCCTGCTACGTTAAAATTCTATACAGTTACATGCAGTCATTATTCCTTGCTCAGTTGATATATTGTATACAACTTCCGTCGTAAAAGACTTGACAATATAACAAACTTCTTCATCGATATACACCTTCTGCACCATATCTTCTAATGACAGCTCATTGATCTCTTCTGCTGCAGTCATTTTCTTTTTTGCTTCTCTAGTCTCTGAGCTCATACGTCCGATATTGACGGCCATCCTTGCGGCGTTGTGCATAATATCGGTATAAATATCATCAACCAAGATAAAGATTAAGCGATTCAGCCTTCTGTTCATCTTTCTTTGTAAATAAGTTGTCTTAAATTGGTTATACTAACTTTCAATGTTGATATTCATTTCCATATTGGTGAAAATTCGTGGTTGGTAAGCAGCAGAACAATGCATGAACTGATCATCAATAAGGTACTTTTAGGTAAAGTGCACCATGAAATTCGTATGCACTGCAAACTCCTACTGGAAATGTAGCAGCTCCTGGAAGTACAAGCAGAGAACGAAGAGTAGAGAGGCAGCTATATCGTAGGAATACTGGATTTCAAAGTCAACACCGTAGGAGAGTCATTTCTGCATATGGCGACGCAAGCCTTCCAAGTTCTATGCGTTCATTTACTCCTACACCCTCCAAGGTAAAATGAATTTCAAAAATATACAATAATATCTAATATAGGCAATATAAATTACGCAGACATTTATCAAAAAAAAGAAATAGTAATATTAGTTGATAAATATAGGACGCCAAAAGTTTGCAGCCATTGCAAAAACGATTTAGAGGATATTGCTGTGCCTGAAAGAGGATTTGACTGCAACCATTAGTATGTAAATATTATTTATATAAATAGCTGTACAAGATATTGACCTCGATTTAATTCTTCTTGGAAAAAAGATGATTAGACAGAGCTCAGAGAAAAAGCTTATTAAATGGTGTGTAAATGATGACAATCGCATTATTAATCAATCTAGTTCCTGTCCCAATAAAACGCAAATAAGTATATCTTCCAAACTTTGAACGCTTAAAGTTTATGTTCTAACCTAATCATTTACAAAATAGGCTATGTGCCCATTGTATGTCCGTTGAAACTTTGCAGCCAGTGTTCAGCTGGTAATGTTCATGGTAGAAACCTGGTAAGTTACTTTTGCTTAGTTACAACTAGTTAAGTACTGATTATTCTATTTTAATACTGTCAACTCCATCCAATGATAGGTCTGGAACCGAGACGCCAACGCAGCATTGAACATTCGATCGATTCTTGCAGATTATGTTAATAATAACTGTAATATTAGATCAAGGAATTCTACATTTAATAGAGTCCTTTAACCAGCACTATAGTACTATTTGCTTGGTCCTTTTACACTAGTAAGTGCTTTATTCTATTCTGATTCGAAAAGAAAATACTAACGTCATCATTGTCTTATTGGGGTAATCTAAGTCAGTACAACTCAAAGAGTGAAGATTCAAACGCAGTGTAGAATTAGGAAATATTGTAGTTTTGCGTGTTTGGTTGATAAGTAAGAATCTGGTGTTAAAGGCTCGCTTTGTAGTGACCGCCAGATCTTTAATAGACCAAATAAGTAATTGAGTAATAAAAGGCAAATGAGGTAAATAAAAGTAGAAGTTTGAAAATGCTCTGACAGGTAATATAATTGTTATACCAAAATCAGAGCTAAAGAAAAGAGAAAAAGGGGAAAAAGGGTTTTACTTTATATAAAAAAAAATACATCAAGGATTTATTGTTATTTCAATGAATACTTCTCTTTGAGAGCCAAAAACAAGATAGTATTTATACTGTTCAAAAAATGATTTGAAGTCAGTCATTAGTGACTGACCTTAAAAGTGGGTGGGTAACACCGTATCTTCGTCGTCATCACCGTCACAGCAGGACACGTAAGTTTGAGTTTGAGCAGCATTTATTTCTTGTTCTTTTTTTTTTAACAAACAATCCAATATAAATCAACATGCCACCAAAATCTGATTGGGAAAAATGTAAAAGATACTTTTATTAGCACAGTTAAAGGAAGCTAACATATGAATGTAGACGAAGGAAATGTCGAAGACAATGAAAATAAAGAAAAGATTGTTGGTAAATATGAAAAGCAGTAGATTCGTCATCAATCGGTTGTTAATAATTGCATATATAGCTTTGGATGAAGGAGATATCAAGCTTTTAAAAACATATGTAAATGATTATAAACAGTAGTGACAACAAAACGTAGACTAAAAGCAATCCTAACAGGGACAAGGCCCTTATACAAAGGAATTAAAGACTTTAGAGCAAGACCTTAAGGATATTCAAAAGCGTGTTAATGAACATATAGGTATTTTCTCATCTAATTTTGAGCATTATGTCATGTACTAAAGTAATTACAGGTGTCAAGGAATCTGACACAGGTTTAGCTGCTCCCAACTTGTGGGATATTCCCGCTGATAAACAAAGAATGCAAGAAGAGCAACCTTTACAAGTTGCTCGCTGCACAAAGATCATTCAAGGAGAAAATAATGAAGATCCAAAATATGTGATTAATGTAAAGCAAATTGCAAAGTTTGTTGTGGAATTAGTTCGACATGTCTCTCCAACTGATATTGAAGAAGGAATGCGTGTTGGGTAAAATTTAACTGCTGCTGATGTGTATTGATATGTCTAATACGCTTTTATTAGTGTCGACCGTACAAAATATCAAATTCAAATCCCTTTGCCACCTAAAATTGACCCTTCTGTCACGATGATGCAGGTAGAAGAAAAGCCAGATGTTACGTACAGCGATGTTGGTGGTTGTAAAGAGCAGATCGAACGTCTTCGTGAAGTAGTTGAGTTACCACTTCTTCAACCTGAGCGATTTGTAAACCTCGGTATTGACCCTCCTAAAGGTGTCTTGCTTTATGGTCCTCCTGGTACAGGTAAAACCCTCTGTGCTCGTGCTGTAGCCAACAGAACGGATGCTACATTCATTCGTGTTATCGGTTCGGAACTTGTACAAAAGTATGTTGGTGAAGGTGCACGTATGGTTCGTGAATTGTTTGAGATGGCAAGAACAAAAAAGGCTTGTATCATCTTTTTTGACGAAGTAGATGCTATTGGTGGCGCTAGATTTGACGATGGAGCTGGTGGTGATAATGAAGTTCAGCGAACAATGTTAGAATTGATTAATCAACTAGACGGTTTTGATCCAAGAGGCAACATTAAGGTGCTGATGGCCACAAACAGACCAGACACATTAGACCCGGCTCTTTTGAGACCTGGTCGTCTGGATCGTCGTGTAGAGTTTGGTTTACCTGATTTAGAAGGACGTGCTCATATTTTAAAGATTCACGCAAAAAGCATGAGCGTCGAAAGAGATATCCGTTATGAATTGATTGCTAGATTATGTCCAAATGCTACTGGTGCTGAATTACGAAGTGTCTGTACAGAGGCTGGTATGTTTGCTATTCGTGCAAGAAGAAAGGTTGCTACCGAAAAGGACTTTTTGGAGTCAGTGAATAAGGTTATTAAAGGATACCAGAAATTCTCCAGTACACCAAAGGTAAAGTACTGCATATTAATATTTAGTGCAAAAGACTCACTTGTTATCATAATAGTATCTTATGTGGAATTAGTTTTTTTATCTTGCTCTATTTTAATAAAAGTATTAAAATACAGTGAAGCTTGCCTACAAGAGATGATGGTTATTGAGGGGGAGAGGATAGTACTTGTTGCAATAGCAATAGTTGGATTTATAGAGTCAGGTGGGGAGTGTTGTTGTTTATGGTGCGTGTAACCTTTGGTTTCATGAAAGAAATCTGACATTGTAACTTTCTTTTTTTCTCTCTCTCCTCTTTTTCAGCCCATTATGTTATCTCCAACAAATAAGCTTAGTCGTTCACCTTCACTTGCTGATAGCTCAGTAGAAATGACCAATATGTTAGCCTGTAATCCCAAAAGTACTGATCGTGTCTTTATGACTCCCTACTTGAGGGAATACATTTCCAACGGTTATGCCGAGCATCCGGATTTATATACAGATGACTTTCGAATCTTGGACGAACTAAGAAATGACTGCATCTTTATGGAAGCAAATGAAAAGTCACTCAACAGACTTATCAAGTACATCATGAAGAAATTAAGAGACATGACCATGTACAATAACAACATATTCTTTTAGATACTATGCTCAGCTTGTATTTATTAGCTCTAAGTTTCCTATTGATGTTTGTATATTGCTTTTATAGTTGATCATATCTTGCTCATATTTAAATTGATAGGTTGGTATCGAGTTTCCTTGGTACGTATCAACTGCAATGGAAGCACCGCAGATAATAGGTAAATCAGATTTTATTAAAGGACAACAAAAACTAAAGCTAACCTTGATCCTATCTTCTTCTTCTTCTCTGCTATGAGGAAATAGCTCATCGAAATATGAATTATGAAAAGGCATGTATTCTATACTCAATAGGCGCCATATACAGCCAACTTGGAAACGCAGAAGATCGATCAACAACCGAGGGAGTGAAACGAGCATGCAATTATTTTCAGGCAAGTTTATCGTTTTAAAAAGATTCTATCTTGTCCTATTCTTCGGCTATGTATTGATGCCACAGTGCTGCAGAGCTCAGCAGGCTGTTTTCAACATTTGTTAGATGTTGTTATACCCGAGATGAGAATCGCACCAACGATCGATTTGTCAACCTATGCTCTGCAGACATTGATTCATCTGATGCTTGCACAAGCACAAGAGTGCGTCTGGCAGAAGGCTGCGATGGATCAACTTCGTGACGGAACGATCGCAAGGTTGGCGATCAAGATATCCGAGTTTTATGATGCTGCTTATGAGTTTGCTTCCAACTCATTCGTTCAAAATGTATACCCAAAGTCATGGCTAATCCATGTACAAGTCAAGGCATTTCATTTTAAAGCGGCTGCTCAGTTCAGAAAATCATGTGAATGTCTATCCTTGGACAAATATGGCGAGGAATTAGCTCGATTACACTTTGCGTCCGATATCGTGAAGCGTGCATTAGAAATTATCAAAGCCAATCAAAAACTGCTTTCTATACCTGTCGTCAATGACTTGAAATCACTGCAGCAGATTATCTCAGCAAACCTTGCAAGAGCCCAAAAAGATAATGATGTTATCTACTTAGCAAGAGTACCGCCCGTATCATCCTTACAGCCAATCTTGAAGACTCAAATGGTCAAAGCTACTGCTCCTCCAGAAATTTCTGACCCTGTGCCCCTTATGCTCAATAATGAAAGCAGTCTGGATACACCACCTCATCCTATCATTGGTTTGCCCTTATTTCAGAAACTTGTTCCATTTGCAGTTCATCAGGCGGCTAGTGTATACGTAGACAGAAAGGAGCGATTGGTGAAAGAAGATATTATAGCGAAACTTGAAGAATTGACAGGTGTATACCACAGGTACATACAAGATACGTAGCTACGACTCTGAATTAATTAAACATTAGTTCTGTTGAATCATTAAACCTACCTACATTATTGGCCACGGTTGAACATACAACGGGCTTACCAGAGTCCATTCTGAGACAAGCGGCCGAAGTAAGAAGTGAAGGCGGCATACAAGCATTATATAATATGTGGGAGCAGGTTCAGAAGGCCTCTTCTAGAAATGCAAACATTCTAGAGGAGGCTTTTAATGCTCTAGATGAAGAACAGGAAACGGATGAAGCGCTTCGATCAAAGTATACTTCAGGTAACAACTTGGCAATGCGTAATTTGGTAGACATGCGAGAATTAACACAGACATCAATAGCATGGAACCGGCCAGAATCCACAACGTTAACACGACAACTAGTAGCTCAAGGACAGAAGCATAGACACACTATAACATCTGCTCAAAAGGCAGATGCTATTGTCAAGAGCAGACTGGATACGTGGTCAAAGATTATAAGCATCCTAACTTTAACAAGAGAGGAACTTGAGGAATCTATTCCGTCAGATGATAGTACAGAAAATGGCAAATCCCAACAAGACAGCTTGCTTCGTATCAAACGACTCATAGAAGACATGAATCAACATTTGAGAATTCGTAGAGACTTGATCGATCAAGCCAAAAAGGCAGCCAATGCAGATGATATTTCTCCAGCCTTGTTAAAGAAGGCAGCAGAACTAACAGCCAAATCACCTACGGTCAAGATTGAAGCAGCACAATTTGAAGATTTGTTCATTGTTAACCTACGGAAATATGATAGCTTTGTAATGACAGTGGACAAGGAGGATGAGCAACAGAGCATTATTTTAAGGCAATTGAATGATGCATATCATCAATATATGACAGGGACGCCTAATAACGGATCAGCTAAAAGAGAAAAGGCACTTCAAAATCTTCACCAGGCGTATCTGAAATATAAAGAGATTAGAACTAATCTGTCAGAGGGACTTAAGGTATGTTGACAGTTACTAATACATTCAACGTCTAATATAACTTTTTATTAGTTTTATGCTGAGCATGCAAAGGGATTAAAGTCATTCTGTGATGCATGTAAAGACTATTGTAATAGACGTCAACTAGAGTCAGAACAAATGATAAGGTAAGATTATACTTTTTTTTTT